TTCCCTCCCCACAGCCCTACCCATCACAGCTCTCTCCCTCTTCACCATTCATCGTCACTTACCTGCAGGCAATCAGCAATATGCACAAGCTGTGAGCGTGTCCTTCCCAAGGATTTGTTCCAATGTCTGAAGCACAATAAGCTGCCTCTCCCCCCTGTTGTCCCTGGACCCATCAGCAGAGCAGCCCGGGGTGGGACAAGGCCCACGGCAGGATCCTCCCTGTGCTCCATCGCGGACCAGCTGGGGATCCTGCTGCCCTTTGCACAAACACTGGCATGCCCTGGGCTGCTAACCCCCTGCCCGGGAGAGGTGTGTGTATTTCCTATTGAATAAAATGCTAAACTACTGATCTTTCTGCCTGTCCTAACTGCCTGTGTGCTCTGCAGAGCAGAGCGGAGCGTGTTGGTCCTGCCTGTGGAGGAAGGGACACTCGTGGCTGCAGATGCCCACACACCAAGGCTAGGCAGAGCACGACCCCAGGTATATTCCTAGCACACACACAACACAGACACACACACCCCAAGGTGAGGAGAGGTTTGAGCTTCACCCGCGTGCAGAGCTGCCCCTCTCACCTGCTCCCCCATGCACAGCTCACACAGCAACGTTCAGCCAAGGAGTCTCTTTAATGGGTCTGGTAGGACACACCATGTGCAGATCAGTTTGCTCACACAGGTATCACTTTGCATTCCTCAGCCTTCTCCAGGTTGGTCCCCTCGGTGCCCTCAGACAGGAGGCCTGGCCAGACTGGCTGCTTTCAGCAGAACACAAAGCCAGGTGTGTGGCCCAGAGGCAGCACAGCCCCGTGACACACTGCTCTGCACAGGACAGAGCTCACCCCATCACGGGGCAGTTCTACCCAGGGCAGCACAGGCAGCTCCATGGGGTGCCCTGGGGCTCCAGCTGCCAGCACAGCACCCTCACGGAGAGCCAGCCACAGAGCTGGGTCACCCAGCTACAACCCACCAGTGCCTAGTGCCAGGCAGCAGAGGAGGTTCTGGAATAGATGGCCAGGGGGGGAATGTCCAGTGTTGTGATGGAAAGGCTTCCCCAGCACCAAGCCCTGGAGCAGCCAGGGCAGGAGCACTAGTCTTCAACCAGCGGAGGGGGGGTCAGGTGGAGCTGGAAGTTCTCGTTCTGGAAGACACTGCTGGAGGCTGTGTCTCCATGGGACATGCTGAGCAGCCCGTGCTTGTCCCCACCACGGGCCAGTTCCGTCAGGAGAGCCAGCTGCAAGGCAAAGCCACCCCAAAGTCACCCGGGCTGGGAGCACACCTGCAAGGTGCACCGAGTGCTCAGGGTCACCCTGTTCCTCCATGCACAGCAAAGGGCATGGGTGGTATGGAGGGACTCTACAGAGCTCCCTGTGGGACACCAGTGCTGAGCCAAACCACTCCCCAGGGAGCTTTAGGTTGTTTTACAGTCATGTAACTGAAAAACAAGCCCAGAAAGATCTGGAAGTGCCAACAACCTCAGCCAAAACAGGCAAGAGGCACAAGGGAAAAGCCAGAGAGAGAGGGAGCTGTGCCCTCCATGGGACAACACGGGCAGGAGGAGGGAGCCACAGAGTCTGGAGTGAGGTTAGTCACAAACCTCAAAGGGATCTGAGAAGCCTCACCCCGTAGACACTTGTCAGGCCCAGCCCCACAGCCATTCCCATGGTTCCACTGGCAGTGAATTCCCAGCTCTGCCAGTGTGGCTGCCCTCGGGGCGCTGTGCCACAGCCAGCTCAGTGCACAGCAAAGTGCCATCCCCAGAAGACACCCAGGAGGGAAGCCAGAGCCCTCAGTGCCAGCACTAACGTGTGGCCTGACACACAAAGTGCCTATCGGTGCAGACGGGTACGTACCCGGGACGTCCCACGGTTCAGTCGGCACAGCTGGTCAAACGCTTGGATTTGCTGAGGGTCCAACAGCGACTCTGAACTCGCCTGGGAAAGAGCGAGAGGGTTACAGAAACCACAGCACAGCAGAGTGTCCAATTCCTGTGCACAGAAATTCATTCCTGGACCTGCTTGGGAGAGATTTTTAGGCATCTCTTCTCTGTCTTGAAGCCCGTGTGCACCTTAGGTTTGAAAATATTGCCATTGTTGCATGAAGGACAGATACAGCCCGACATCCACTGCTGGCACAGAGCAGCAGCACTGAGTTACCTTTGGGGGAAGGAAAAAAGGAAGAAAATGGAGAGGCAGAAAAAGACAAAAGGATGGGAAGACTCTCCTGCAGCCAGCTGGGAAGAGAAGCAATAGGTGTCTGTGGATGAGCAGCCTCCCCAGGCCTCCCTCACCTCCCTGCTCAGCCCAGCTCCCTGCCATGGGGCACTGCAGGGCTGGGGCAGGGAACCAGGGCTGTGCCAAGGGCTGCTGACAACTGATGACATCCCAAGGTCCTTCCCCCCCCATTGGACGTTACCCACTGGCAGCTGGGAACTGGTGGGTGAAAAGGGAGAGGCAAGGGGAGTTCCCCCAGCAGTGCCAGGTGAGGGCAAACAGCCTGCACAGAGAGCACTAAGGCAGGGAGGGCTGCACACACACTCCAACACTGCTCCAAACGGCACCATTTACCTATTCCACAGAGAGATGACAAAGCACCACAGATTCTTGTAGGTTTGTTCCATTTATCACAATGTTTCTATTTTGAATGTTTCTGCTCACATTGCAAAGCAGAAGCAGCAGCAGCAAGAAGCCACAAGAGGAGCTGGGGAGAGCAGCCTCCCTCACGAGTAGCAGCCTGGCATCTGCTGTCTCCAGGGACCTACTTCTAAGGGAACACTCAAATATTTTCCCCAAAATACATTCCCCAAGGGCTATTAACCCAAAACTCTGCAGTCCTACCAGGGGGTAGTGACTGAAGCTGCACTAGTTTTAAACTCCCTTTGGACTTTAAACTCCCTTTGGCAGTGGAAGATGCTTTGGGTCCCACCACAGGTCTCCTGAAGCCTGGATAGTTCCTTGACTGTCCCACATGTGTTTTGCCTTCAAGACATTCAATCAGACAGTCTGAGAAGAGAGACACATCCCAAGTGCGGATCCCTTACGCTGGATCATGTGCCAAACTCACCTCCTTTCTGCTCTGAGGTACTCTGTACTGTAAATAACTCTTTGCTAATTGCCAGCCAAGGAGCCAGATGTGCCTGTTCCCAGCATAGGCCGTGATGCTGTGACAGGGAGGGTCAGGTGTCCACAGCTGGCAGGGGTTACTGCTCCTCCACACTGGGAAAAACCAAGAAGCAAGGAAAAACTGCCCTCCCCACTGCTGCGGCCACAGGCATCCAAGGACACCGAAAGTGCAGTATAATTGGCCTCCCCTCTCCTGCTCTCTCCCTACCGTGCGTGTGTGACTATCAATCAGGCTGTTCCCAGGCTGATGAGCTGAAATATTGCAGGCAATTCTTCCTGTCGTCATGGAAACAACTGCTGTCAGGCCTTTTCCTTTTTTAGCCGTGTCACTAAAGGCATGTTTCCACTCGGGAGGCTCCCGGGGCAGCCTCTCAGCTCCCCCTCAGCAGGCACAGCCACCCCGGGGCACAGGGCAGCACCGGGACACCTCCAGCCAAACCCCCACCCCCTCTGCAAAGGCCTCAGACTAGACACTGAACCCCAGAGGCACAACTGGTCCCATGAGCTTTCCATCAGGAAGGAGAGAAAGGCTCGTTTCCATTCTCCAGCTCTCCTAGATCCCACCACTAATGCTAATCTCCGTTGCACATTTTGCTTGTGCGTATTCCACCCCCTCTGCTAGTCACCACACAGCCCTCCCAAGCCTGCAATTATCTTCAATCTCACAGCTACAAAAAGCTCCACCGTCAGCCACGGCCGAGCAGAGCAGAGCGCAGTGGTTTGCGCAGTGACACCTCTGTGGTCACACCAAGAGACCTGTCCCAGAGGCACTGCCCAGGGGCTGCAGCCACAAGTCCTGGGGAAGGGCTTGGGATTCCTTGCAACAACTCCCAGCTTGCACCGGGCACTGCTGGGATGTTCCCTTGGACTTCTGCTAATGCCTTCAGCCCACGGAGCAATAATGCAGTTGAGGCTTAATTAGACAAGCACAATCCCCAGAGGACACAATGCCCGGCAGACAGGTATTTAGTTCTAACCCAGCAGGCTCCAAGGGAAGCACATGGATGAAACACTACACAGATGATGCTCAACAGGCTGTGCTGGGGCTGAGCTGAGCTCCAGTGTTAGAAGCCTCATGCATGAAGGCAGAGAATTCCTTTTCTGAAGATGAGCCAAGAGGCTGTTAAACAGATCTCACTGAGCCAAGCACAGAGAACTGAGGAAGTGCAGAGTTCTCTCAATGGCAGGAGCTGGGGGGGAAATCACAGAAGCCCAAGAAAACAGTCAACTTTGGTTTAAAAGCTGCTAAAGGATAATTGTGGGTTTGAAATTAGTCTTTAAATTTGTATTTTGTTTTCGGTTTTAGCTTTGGTGCTAATGCTCCTCTACCTTCTTGTGAAGAGTCCTGCACTTAGTTTTCCTTTTACTAAGTCACTAGTTTCCAAGCAATCCTAAACACAGATGTTCTGTCCAGTTCCTTCCTCACATGGGTTTCCCATGCATTGCTGAAGACAAGGAACCCACCACACCAAGGCCAACTCCAGAGCTGCAGGACTGGGGGTTTGCTCAGCTAATGTGCAGGTGTCAAGATTCTTTACAGAGAAGAGAATGCAAAATCTCATAACTGTATAAAACACTAATTATCTCCTTGGTGTTACTGGGGGGGGGAGGGGAGGTGATCCCACCTGGGTATTTTTAAAGTTATAAAGCCCATGGAAAACTCTGATATGACTCGAGTCAGTGGTCACTGTTACCCAGTGAACAGCAAAACTGGCTGTGTGTGTGACTGAGGAACGTCCTGTAACATCTGTCTGGCTCTGGAATAAGTACCAGTGGAAAAACCATCCTAAACCTCCACTGTTCCCCCCCAGACTGCACACAGGTGTGAAGAGCTCAGGGGAGGGCTGTGGTTCCAGCACCTCACAGGGGGAGCAGTCCCAAAGCTCCACACTGGGTGGAAGGTGGTGCTGCAGTGGGGCACAGGAAGGCTGAGGGACAGAGCTCAGAGGTGGAGTTGACAAACTGGATTAACCATGGATCAATGTTCATTGTCCACCCTGGCATGATTTGACAGGATTAAACTCCTGAATAAAACATACTTGCCATCTGGACAGCTCCAACAATGGTGTCTTTAGAACTCAGGCACATTCTCTAAGTGGGAGCAACCAGAGCGTGGCAGCTCATGATGCTCATGGCCCAGGAGCCAAGGCTGCTCCTCTCCCCAGTCCCCGCTACACAGGCTGGCAGGATAAATGGAAAACATGAAGGAGCTCACTGAAATGAGGCAAGTAAGTTTTGAAGATCAATGACCAAGACATCAGGAGGACTTAGGTACTTAGGCAGCAGCTCAGTTGCTGTGCCTCCACCTAACATGCCTCAAACACTCACCAGACACACACTGCAAGTTTTCAGTGGGGTTGAAGCCCACCACAAACACAAGCTTTCACTTCCTTTAGCTCTGATTTGTGGTCTGTTGCAAGGAGGACAGGAAATACGATCCTTTAGCCCCATAAGAATTACCCTTGGTAAGTTAGCAAGGCTTAGGGGATAGCAGGGAAAGCACAAACTTCCTGGCAGCAGAACCAGAGGAAAGAGAAGCCCCTTTGGCCTCTCTGCTCCCCCAGTCCGGGGCAGAGCCCACCCAGTGCTCATCCCAGCCAGGTTCCAGTCCCATCCCTGCTGTCCCGACTCGGTCCCAGGGCAGTACTGCTTTGGGGCCTCTCTCCACCTCCCCAGTTTCAGGCAGTGGCTCCAGAATCACACCCACCACGCAGGGCAGAGCAAACACTGTCTGTTGGGCTGTCATTTCACATACACATCTTAGCCACACTGCACAACTCAAACTGACAGTCTTTGCCTGGGCAGGGCAGAATTAGTGCTGTGAAATGCACTCCAGATGCTCAGTGGCATTTCTCAGTATGACTCTACTCCTAACTCAAGGCTTCCTAATAAAATAAATACCTCAGCTGAAGATTTCACTGGAGAAAAACAAACACCAGATTGGCTTTTCCCACGAGACAGACTAAAGGGTCTTCAAAGTGGTTGCAAAGAAACACCTTCCCCACAGCTCAGTGTGCAGAACGGCCTGGAAGCTCCCGAGCTGGGTCTCCAGACCTGGGGAGGGCAGGGCTGGAAGCACAAGTGTGTTAGCAGGACCTCCCTCAGGTTTTCCTGCTCACAAACACCAGCTGTGGCAGCCAGAGCAGCTTGTCCAGCACAGGGCTCTGGGTCTGCCAGGTGCCAGCAGAGTTAAAGGGAAGCAGAGAGAAGATCCGTCCCCTCCCCTTCCATTCCCAGCACTTCCCCCAGCACAGAGTCTGTTCTGCCACTCAGCCCAGGGTCAGGTCAGACAGATTGTTGCCTCTCAGGGTTAACTGAGGCTGCTGAGCAGCAACTGTTCAGTGACCAAACTTCCTGGAGAAGCTGGAGATTGCCAAGTCTAAACATCCTCAGCTTTCCAAAGCTCTGACTGCACAACAGTTGGGTCACAGGCGAGTGCAGCAGTTAAATGCTGTGACTGTCTGTGAGGAACATCCCAGCCTTGGAGAGGTCTGGGGCCCGGGGAGGAGGAGGTGCTGGGGCTCACTGTGTGGAGCAGAATGGCAAGGTTGCCCTGCCAAGAGCACGTGAGTGCAGCAGGGAAGCATCCCAAACTCTGATGGCCTGGAATGGACATTTTCCAGCTAGTGCTAGATGACCCATGCTGTGACCCTTTCCTTCCCCATCCGGTCTCTCTACGTGTCCCTTTAAGCCCTGAGTCCCAGCCAGCTCCTCACTTTCATCAGTGGGAAGCATCACCTCCTTCCTGTCCCCATCATTCCCATAGCATCTGGAGCATTTTCCTCTTCCTTCTATATGGGCTGTGTCCAGACTGGTGTTAGAGGGGAGACACAGGGGCTCTCTGGCTGCCTGCCCAGGGACCCCCAGTTATCAGGCACTGGGATCCAGTGTCAGGCACTTGAACCACGAATGGAGTTTTAGGATTTAATTTTGCCTTTACCCTTTCAAGTGTGCCCTGGGCTGCCCTCCACTCCTCTGAAGCAGGAGAGGGTGGGTGCTGAACCTGCCCACACCTCCCTGCAGCAGCACAGCACACACACACATGCTGGGGAGCGTTTGGAGTCAGTCTGGTTGGACCAGAGCCGAGTTCCAATCTCCCGGGGAAGCTTTGCTTGCTGTCTCCAAATGGAACACTAACACAATCTGACTGCAAAGACTGCATGGGGCTCCATGCAGACCTCCCAGAGCCTTTCTCCCCAAGTCCCCCTCCCAGCAGGAAGCCTCTCTCGTTAGTGCAGCTGCTGCCAGGAGCTGAGCAATGCCCTTAGCCAATGCTTGATCGGGATTGATTTGGCAGAAACTGAAATCAGCTCATACAAGAAAACTAAAGTCCTACTACAGAAACGTACTCCAAGATTGAATTATTTTGGTTCCAGGAGTGCTGCTCTGTGTGCTCAGTGCAATGACAGTGCACAAAGCACCTCCAGGCATTTGGGAATGAGCCCTCACCAGCATCTGCCCTCACTGGAGCAGCACAGCTCCACTCCCCACAGGGCAATACCCCAAAGACATGCCAGCAGCTACTGCCACTGTGCCACGGGACAGGCAGCCCCGTGCCTATCTGAGGCTGCACCTCCCTTTGAATTAGGGATGGGGAAGCTTCTTGCACACAAATACAATAAATACAAACTCATTTGTTCTGTGTAGTGCTAGCAAATGATCTGTTCACTCACCCAAATCCAGCTCCATCAGTCTTGGTTACAGACAAGCTGCTTAAAGCATTGTGCAAGCACTTAGCAAATCAAATCAACCCCAGACCTTTGACCCACAGCCAGGTTGTCTGCTAGGATGGCAGGAGGGAGGATCTGTGATCCAGCCACATGGAACATGCCTGCTTGTAATCCAGGTTTTATAAAAAACACACCCAAAAAGAGTCTGAAAGGAACTGTCCACCCCAACGGCCCATCCAGCCTGTCCCAAGTACCACAGAGCAGTGGTTGCATGTAGCGCAGGACCAGCTGCAAGCATCCAGCTCCCAGACCTGCCGGGTCAACGTGTCTCCATGAGCTCCACAGCTCTGCACACCCACAGCAAGGCACAGTGGCATTCAGAAACATGACCAGTTAGCTGCTGAGAGTGTTTCACAGTCACTGCTCAGGGGCTTGTCTGGAGACAAGGACAGACAGAGGACCAAGTGTTGGTGTCTACAGGCACTGCCCCAAATGTGCCTGAAGAGAAACCACCTCACACACCTTACCTGTGCCAGGGATGCTGCACTCCCTTTCTTCAGCTCTGACAAGCTCTCGCTCAGTTTGGCTCCCTTATTACTCGAGTTGCATTTATAGCACATCCACCTCATCGTGCCCTTGGTGACTGTCCCACACTCCTTACTCAGCAGGCACAGTGAATGGTACAAGTGGCCACAGCTGGACAGAGAAGGAAAGAAAAGGATTCAGTGCTTGGAAGCAGGACATGCAGCCTGAGAGCTCTGCACTGTGGAGGGGAAATGGCAGTGTACACATTCTCTTCCTGCCTTCGCACCCTCCTGTAGTATTCCTAGACCTCCCAAAATAACAGTGGCTGCCCATTTGCTGATACAGCTACAGACCAAGGCAGTAATTGTCTCATTTTGCAGGCACCTGGTCACAGGGCAGGGCATGGGACCTGCCAACCACTCACACTGGTGAGCCTGAGCTGTGCAAACACAGCCCAAGGGGCTGCAGTGCCCCACGTACACTGCTGGGAGCTGAGAGCTGACAGCCATGCACAGAGCAGTGCTCCCAGAGCTTGGGCAACTCCTCCAGAGCTGTCTGCATGCAAAGCAGTCTCTGGGGGAGCTTGATCAGCCAGAACTCTTAGTCAGGGCAGCAGGGAGCCACGCTCACAGGAATGCAGGAGATTGCTCTTGCAAGCCAAACTCCAGCCTATTTTTCCACCCTTTTAAAACTACTAACTTGACCACAGCTGTGACCCCAGCCCTCAACTTTACCTGAACACAATGATTTCATCGGCAGTTTCTTGCCTCCTTTTGTACTGCTGGAGGCAGATGCAGCAGTAATCCTGCTTTGGGGTGAGCCCTCTGGTGACAGAGGCTCTCAGGTTGCACAGGGACCAGTGAAGGTCGTGGTTTAACAGGCTAGTAGTTGTCTCCAGAAGGGTCTGTGTGAAAGAGAACACACAGAGTAACTAAGGTTGGTCTCTCACCTCCAGGCTGCAGAAACTTCCTGCCGATCAATTCTCCACAACAAGCAGCTTAGCACGTCACTGAGAGCAAAACCAACCCAATCAAGTAATTTCTTCTTCCATGCTCTCTAGCCACTGCCCTCAAAACACTTATCCTTTCATCACATGTTAGTGGAGACAATTTCTCTCCACTCTTAAACAGGCAAATCCTATACTGACTTTTGTCCAAGAGCATTAACACTGACATGACAGGTTCCTTTGGTCATCTTCCAGACCAAAACCCTCTTTTTTCCCCCTCTACCCAGTAAGTTACCACTCACACCCCCTGTATTAGGAGCAAGTGCTGATATAAACCAAAGCCCAAATACACTATGGCAATTTAAGTATGAAACAAACAACCCTGAACTGCTCATCTTCTTGTCCTTTCCAATGGAGATGTACACTCTGAAGAGCCCAAAGCAAACACCCCGAGTCCTCAGCAGTCAGGGTGCTTCCAGCAACACGAGGTGCTGTGGTCCATGGCCTATCCCTGCTGAGCTGCTCAGAGCCCCTCCCCAGGAGTCCACCAGGCAGAGACAAAGGCTCTCCACATTCAGCCAAGCCATTCCCCATCCTATTTTCACACCAGGTGCTGTGCACAGAGGCCTGACCTGAGCAGCAGCTGGCATGGCAGAGCCATATGGCAGCAGGACGAGGAGGGTGAGTTTGGAGGAAGACTATGCATTCTGTTTTGGGGAAAAGGAGGTTAGAAAACTGCTGAAGTGTGAAGACTGCCTGGATTTGGACTGGGCAGAGAAAAGCAGGACTAAAATTAAGATGAAATCTCATCAGGTCACAAAGGAAGTGCAGAATTACCATTGGTAAGTGTAAAAACAACCTCATTAAAAAACCCTGTTATTTCAAACTGCATATAAAGGCAAAACAGATCAGGTTTGTGCCTTTGAATCCCTAACTGCAGGATGAGTTGGAGAAAAGCAGATGTTTATCCTTCCACTACATTTAACACAGAACCGAGCTGCAGAGGTGTTCACCATGTACCTGTCAGTCCCTTCACTTTTCACTTGCAATCTGTGAGCAAAACCACCTCCCTCCCCATCCCAGTCACACAGAAACCACCCACATCCCAGGGACCCTGCCCTGTGGACAGGAACAGCCCATGAGGGTGAGCAGCAGCCACACAGCTAAAACAATCCTGTGAGCAGCAGTGCACAGAGCAGAAACATGTGCAACTTACTTGTTCATAGTTAAAAGTGTCCAGCATCCCCAGGACAAGCCCTTGAATTTCTCCAAGTTTCCCTTTGCCATAAACTGGATCCTGTAGGAAGAAACAAAAAGCTGCAGTTGAATCACAGGACATGACCATTCTGGTTCTTTTTAAGTAGCTTTTTTCCTCCAGGTTGGCACTGCAAAGGGAAGCTGTGACTGCAGAGTTAAAGATGCTGCACGTGCACAAGGGCAGCAGAGTAACCCTGTGTGCTGATGGGAAAATGGGTAATTAGTAACTCAGTGGATGACAATGTCAATATTAATTAGTGTGCTTGGGTCGAAAGACTTCAGACCTCTGAAACTCCTGTCAGGAGATGCAGGAGCTGACTGGGGAATGCATTGGAGGAACACTGAAGGAACCACATGGCAGCTCCTGGGCCCCCAACTTCCCTGTGCTCCTCCCCACCTGGGGGTAACTCACCCCCGAGCTCATCCCACACCTCCTCAGCTGCAGGAATCCCAGGCAATCCTGGTCCCACATCCCACACAGCAGAGGGAACAGGGACCTTTCTAACTGAGAAAGCTGCTGAGGTCCTTGAAGAGGCCAAAGTTTGCTCTCCTGAAGTCCAGGCAGTGAGCTTGCTGTGTGCCCTCCTCACTGCCCTGAGGAGCTGCCTGGAGTATCTGGGATGCCTTGGTACTTTACATAATTTCCTGCCTACAGGAAACATCAAACAAAGCCCAACAGGAAACTGTATCCAATGTCTCAGCTAAAACTAGACCAAATAAGTCATTGAAGAGCTGTTCAGTTTCCCTGCACCTTTAACAAAACCACTTTTCATGTGATCACACTTTTTACCTGCTCTGTTACAACATCCTTTGCTGTCTTGAAATGATGATTTTTTCCAAAATCCAAGACTGTGCATGTTATTGGGATCAAACCGAGAGGCTGCTGGAGGTGTGTTCACCTGTGCAGCCTGGGAGCCCTTTTCTCCTCTCAACTCCTTCAGGCATTCCACTCTCAATGCAGACAGTTTTCCTAATTTCTTTTCTGCATTTCCCAAGGTTTGCTATTAAATTCCAGCCTCAGCTTTCATCTGCTTTGCAAATCAACAAATGACAGCTGCTTGTGACCACTCAGGCCAAGGTCCTGCCTTGAAATCAGCTCTTCTGCAAGATGTTTGCTGCTTCCTAACAAACATCTCTAAAATCTGATTGCACCTTCAAATTTTGGGCCCAGTCATGACCTTCTTCCAGAGCCCACAAACTTTGCTTTATTGCCCTCACAACTGTCCACCCAGAGCCAAACAGCTTTGAGCAAATCAGTCCCAAGTTTTGAGAAACTCCTTGTTGCTTTGCCTCTAAACCTGCCAAGTTCCAGCGCAAAGTAATTGCAACCTTTGAGATAATATTGTACTTGATTTTCAGAAATTGCCTCAATTATCTTCTCACAGGTCTGTGTGTTCCCACACCTCTCCCAAATAATTCTATCAGTTCTTCCAACTTATCTCTCACCAACTGAACTTTCACTGAAACACTCTGAACCAGACAATTAGCTGACCTGATCTCCAGCGACCTGGAAATTGCTCTTCCCCATAACTGAGTGGCACAGCTTGGTGAAAACCTCTTCCCTCCAGAAACTCACCTGGAGAATTCTCTGCAGGATGGAGGGGAGAGCGATAAATGCAGCCATGTTGTTCAGCACTTGCATTGTCAAACTCTTCAAAGCTGCAACATCAAACACAACAGCCACCAGCAGCAAGTTAGGATTCAAGGAATAGAGATCAGTCTTGCAGATAGAGAGTTTTATTCCAGGTCATGTTTTCTAGTTGGAAAACAGCTTTTTTACCTCTTCCTGCACTAACTACACACAGCCTTTCGCAGCAGAAGGTATGGTTAAAACTCTTCCATGCCACAATGCCTCTGTGTCCCCTTCCACAACCCCTACAAGCAAACACTCCCATTTTCCCTTCCCACAACCCCTGCAGCAAACACCCATATTCTGTCTTATTTGGAAGCAGTACCATTCCCTTTTCCTACTCCTCCCAATGCCCAGTTTGGATGCCTTGTTCATGTCATAGCCCCACAGACTTGAAACCTTCCTAGAATTAACCTTGGCATAAAACTTGTTCCTCAGCGCTGATCACAGAGCTGAAATGGACCCAAATTATTCTGTTCCAAGGCCAGAGTACCTGAGCCTCTTTGTAACTGGTCTCACACCGCCCCGCAGAGGGAGGCAGTTCAGGGTGTGCTGCTGACACCCACAGCAGATCAGGAATGGGAGAACTGAGCTGGTGTTCAAGCCCTGCTGATGTTACACACGACAGAGAGGTGAGGAGAGCAAAGGGCTGGGCATGGCAAGTGACAGTGTGTTATGCCAGGAGGTCCCAACATGCACACTATGTCCAGCCTAGAAAGCCTTTGCACACCCCATGCACCACATTGCTTTGAGACCATCCTCAGTGGAACCAGCTGGTCAGCACAGCCTAGGGAGAGTCTTTTTTCCACTCAGGACAAAATAAAACCAAGTGAAAAATCCTTTCTGCCTGAGAGCTGCAGCCTGAGCTCAGTCCCACAGTCCCTGCAGGCCAGGGAGCACAACTGACAGGAATGGAGTGCCCAAACTGCCCTTCTCCTGTTCCCTCAGCAGAGGAGAGACAGTGCAGATTTGGATGGACATGTGGGGTCACCAATGGCAACTACTTACAGTCAGAGTATCGGCACTGTGAGGACCCAGAGGATTTCTGTGGGGACATCATTGCCTCCAGCAGGGGAAACCAGAGGGCCTGAAATCATGGAACACGAGGGAAAACCAGTAAGGACATGGCAGTACTAAAAATGACCTGTGAGCAACATCAGAGTCCATTTGCAGAGACTCATTCCCACATTCTGGGAACAGAACTGCATTTCTTATGCAATTCTTGGTCAGGTTCGAGCCTCTCACTGCCCAAAGACCATTGAGGCACTGGAGCGAGTCCAGCCAAGGGCAACGAGGGCAGCAAAGGGCTGGAGCACATGGGGAAGGGCTGAGGGAGTTGGCCTTGGTTAGCTTGGAGTAAATGTAAATGGGAAGGAACATCCCCCCCATTCTGGGAACAGAACTGCATTTCTTATGCAATTCTTGGTCAGGTTCGAGCCTCTCACTGCCCAAAGACCATTGAGGCACTGGAGCGAGTCCAGCCAAGGGCAACGAGGGCAGCAAAGGGCTGGAGCACATGGGGAAGGGCTGAGGGAGTTGGCCTTGGTTAGCTTGGAGTAAATGTAAATGGGAAGGAACATCCCCCCTCTGGAGAGGGACTCTGTGTTAGGAACTGCAGTGATAGGACAAGGGGGAATGGATACAAATTGGAGGAGGGGAAGTTTAGGCTAGATCTTAGGCAGAAGTTTTTTCTGTGAGGGTGGTGAGACACTGGCCCAGGTTGCCCAGGGAGGCTGTGGCTGCCCCAACCCTGGCAGTGTTCACAGCCAGGTTGGATGAGCCTTGAGCAACCTGCTCTGGTGGGAGGTGTCCCTGCCCAGGGCAGGAGTTGGGGCTGGATGATCTTTAAACTCCATTCCAGCCCCTTAACATTGTATATTCTATGATCTAAATTCTATCTGTGTCACATTAAAGTCACTGTAGAGAAGTACCCAAGCAGGTACCTCTCACACTAGGCAGTGCTCAGAAGAACTGACAGGATTACTGACTCCCTGCCATGCCACCTCTTCAGACACAGGAACAACATTCCCAGGACTGAGTTATGTAAATGATGCAGAACCTTAGGAGTAAGGATGCCTTTGTGTAACTGATGTCAGCAAAATAGAATCACAACCTCAACACGATGAGACAGGTGAATCCAGTTCTCTCTGTGAGAGCTGAAGCCATCTGTACTGCTTCCACCCCTCACAGACCAGGCTGACAGTTCAGGGTCTGTGAGCACTCTGCAGCCACAGCGACAGCAGCATCAGCTTTGTGCCACCACAGAGTTGGCTCAGACCTCACTGAAGTGTCTGACTGACATTCAAGCCAAGCTTTGAGCTGCAAAGGGGGAAAAATGGTGGCTCACCTGCTTCCCCACTGCTCTGTGCACTGTGTTCCAACCTTACAAGTGAGGATTTCTCTTGTGGCTCTAAAACCTGAACCACCATGGGGAGAGCAAGGAGAGGAAAACAATAACTGCCTGAGACACAGGAGTGTCCAATGGATGGGAAAGGAAGGAGTGTGGAAGGGAAAGTTTCAGGAGCCACAGAGGCTCTGCTGACTTGAGTGACATTTGTTATCACCTTACCTCTCGCTGCTGCTGGTCTAGACTGTGTGAATTTCTCTGGCAAAGGGCAATTGTTTTCATTAAGGTGTCTTCAATGTTTTCCAGCAAGGAGGGATCAGCTGAGCCTAAGTGTTGGGGGGGGGAAACAAATTGTAATTATGAAAACTATTAGATATGTTAACTCCCAATCCTTCTGCAAAATAAAATCCTGCTCTTCATCTAAAGTCTGCACCCTGTGCTCAGCAACTCTGTTATAAAGACGGGTCCTGATTTTGGGCACTCTTCCTGAATAGCATAATAAATTGGGCAAATAAAACACTTCATGTAATCAAATAAGGAACACCTTAGCTGTGGTTTAGGATACAATTAAGTAACAACTATGGGCACTGCATTTAATTAGGTGCCCACAAGTCCTTGGGCTAGTGAGCAGAGCATCTGTGCATGGACTCATTTTCTGTAGGCAGAACATTCTTATTTATCTGAGAAATTTGCTTAAAAAGAAAAGCTTCTTCAGCTGTCTCCCATCTCTGTTCACAGCTGATGCAGTACAGCTCAGTGTCTTGGCTCAAGACATGAGCAATCTCAGCTGAGATCAGCTCCCCATGCGCTTTGCTCTGAGGTTCTTTGAAGGTTTCAGTTCTGTCCCACTGCAGTCACAGAATCACAGAAACATCAAGGTTGGATGAGACCTTTAAGATCATCCAGTTCAACCACTAACCTGTCAGGATCCCAATGGATTCTAACACAGCAGATGTGCCTGGGGGGCCAGGGAGAGCACCAGTCACAGTGGAAGGAGCTGACAGGGCAGCAGACCACACACAGCCCACCCATCCCTCACAGTTCTTCAAGGTCTCTACCCAGAGTATCAAAGTGAGGAAGTGTCATCCAAGTAAATCCCACAGCTACATGGATATAAACTAAACAACTGCCCAGAAACTTGAACCAGGACCTGCTGGTGCCAGGTGTCAGACACAGGCACTTCGTGTTTTTCTGTTGACCTATCTCTTTTTGATAGAAAATTAAATTTAACTTGCTAACTCTTACCTTCATCATCCTGAGTAAGCTCCAGCAGCTTGCTCTGCAATTGCTGAAACGAAGGAGAGAGCACAGAATCAACTTGATAGCTTACTACCAAGAATCCCGACAGAAGTGTTTGCAGCAGGTGTGGTTCCAAAGACTCACCCACATCTTCCTCCCCACTATGACTAACATAGCATGAAAGACTTTCCCAACATGGAAAGGAAAGCAGGAGCTCATAGAACATTTCTGAAAACACATCTCAGCATCCATTGTCTACCAAATGTCTGAAGACATGCCAGAAAAATCTACATATGTCCTGAGTCTGCAGAGAACTCAACAAATTGCTGTTTGACAGAAGGTAATAGTTTCCATGGATTCTAGTGGGAAAAGAATGGAGAAGCAAGGACAGTACCAAACCTGAGCACAGGCCCCAGTGCTGATGGCATGCCTGGCCAAAGTGCCACACACAGCATTTCAGTGCACTGTACCTCAAGCATGACCAGAAAGGCACCATGTATATCTCCCTTCTTCTCCAGCAAATAGGAGGAAGCTTCATGGAGCTGATGTTTCTGGGTTATCTGAGTTCAAAGAGAACAAGAGGGAAATGCTTGTGTTACAGAACCTGCCAGTGCTTGTTTACTGCAGGAGACAAGGAGGAGCAGATGGTCAGAGGGGCTGTGTGCCTGTGCTCATGGCACAGCACCAGGCTGAGCAGGACTCCTCCTCTCCCTGCCACCCCTGCGCTGCCTCTCTCAACTTGCTCCATTGCCACCACCAGCACTCAAAAATCACTGTTACATTTCCACAAAGGGAAGAAACAGTTGCTCTCCCAGCACCAGCCACGTTTTGGCAGCACTGCTTTCCAAAAACCCCAGGCCCGTGATTTCACACCTTCAGCGTGGTTAAGCAGTAGTAACACAGCCACCCCCTACTCTGCACTTCCTTAGGAGCTTCAGAGCACTAACAGCCTCTTTATTAGCCCTGAGACCAAACTCAGCTCCAGCCTATGAGATGTATCTAACTGTGCTGCAGGAGAGCAGTTCAGCAGCTCATGGGAACAGGGAGTGCTGGAAATGGATTGGAAGAGTATCCAGGAACTAATCAAACCTAGGCTAAAAGTACCTTTACAGCACTTTAAGGAGGCAGGAGCAGACTTGAATGCACCCCCTGGCCCCTGTCCTTATACATGCCTTTCCTACCTGGATAGTTTCTTCCAGTCTGCAGGATTCCAGAACTCTGAGTGTCTCCAAAACCTGGTCTGGGCTGTACTGACACAGCAGCTCGATGAACTGCTCAGTGATGCAGGGTGGTAAATGGATCAGGTCTTGGTTAATGCCTTCCCTGCAAGAAAACAGACAAAAGAGACTCAAATCAAATTCCAGCCCAGAAATTTGGCTGGAGAAAAGAGTTTCTTACTCAGTTGTGTGTTGTCATTTATCCCTAACACAGAAGTAAAAAATCTGGTCTTAAGAGAAAAATTATTCTATTTCTAGCGGTTCCTGGTGCTGCAGGTCTCAGCAGGCATTTTGTTTGCTCCACAACACATCCTCCCGATGCCTCAGTATAAACTAGATCACCAAAGACCCCTGTGAAGGCAGAGACCAGCACAGACACACCTGGAGCAGTTCCATGGCTGAGAGGCACAAAGGACTTGCCTCGTTTCTGCAAATAAACCTTATGGTCCAAAGTCCTTCAGGGTGCTGATTGTCTGTGTGTCCTGTGGACCTGCTGCTCTGCATGTGTTTGGAGAAATGGTTTGTTGCATTTTCCTTACTGTTCATGAAATTCTTCTTTGACTTCCTTTATCCCATTCTAACGTTTCATCCCTCTGATCCACCTTGAACAAGGAACTTACGTTTCTTTGAGGGAAACATCCACATGTTCTAACCCCAAAGCTCATTGTTAAGCAAACTCCTGACGTGGGGGAAACGAGAGGGAACAGAACTGTGTACAGTGTCCATGCCTGTCCCTTTGTCCTGACTGCTTTCTCCTGACCTTGTTTTTATAAAGAGCAGCATGAAGCAAGCAACTTCAGGATGAGGATGGAAAGGAGGATACCCTCCTAGAGTCACACACAGCACCTGCAACCCTTGGACAGCAGCTCACAGTGCCACTGCACATCAAACCTCCCACTGGTGCAGTGTGCAGGGAAGCAGCAGCTCATCCTGCCTAGGAAACAGAGCTTTAAACCTGTTCTGAAGCTCCTCTTAGGAATGAAAATGGCTTAAGGTTTACGTTTAGCTGTGCTACCTTTTTGAACAGAAATTCATCATCAGGAGAAGATCAGCTGATGTGCAAACCCTACGGCCATGGGATGGAAAAGGTCTGATGTCCAATCTGAGTCTGTGTTTCCTGGGAGCTACACCAGGATTGTCATCATCCAAGGAAGGCCAGGAGAACACTGTGCCCTAGCAAGCCAAAAGCAGCTTACTGTGATCACATCAGTCACTTGATTACAAGTGATTTGTGCCCAGAAATGAAAGCCTCATGCAGGTACTGATCACAGTGCACAACATCTGGGCACAGCTGTACAAAAACTCATGTCCAGACTACTGTGTCTGACATCCAGGAATGGCTTTCTGAAGGACCAGACGAGAGCCCCGAGTTCTGGGCTCCTGCACTCACCATCCACTCTCCCACAACAGCAGCCTATGAACTGCCCCAGTGCCTGGGAGGGAGAGAGGGCTCCACTCTTAATGTGACTTTATAAAGCACTTCCAGCTAAAATGATCTCTTGTCTACCAAAATAGGGGCAAAGGCAAGTCAAACATTTATAGGATGAGAAGATACTTCTAGTCTGGACACAACTCTGGCACTGAGGATTCATGGTCTCCTGAGCAGGGTAACCTTCCCCACCGCGACAAGAAATGCAGAGGAGAGAGAATGGAAATAAAGTTGGATCTTGAAAACATTCAAGTAACTATCCTGAGACTTGCACACCCTGCTCAGCTCCGTGGGATTGTGTTTATCTCCAGTATAGCCATGCCAAACACCTCCCCTGCCACACTTCACAGGCTCTTTCCTACAGGCAGAGAGAAGTGCTGGTTTCTCACAAAACCTGGCCCAGGAGACCCACCCAAGTGTCATGGGGAGCTGCTCAGAGAAGAGCCCTTGTAATAGAACCTGAGAGTTTAGGTATCAGATAACACATTTATAAACCCAGAACTTTGTGTTGCTAAATAAGAACACAAGAAATGCTGTTATAAGATAATGCACAATAATATCGTTGGTGTAATTCACAAGCACAACTGCAAACAGACATGTTTCCCTGTGCTGGGTTTCTGCAAGGAAAAGCCCAAGAGTTTAAAAAGGAAATGGAGCAAAGGCTGTGATTAATGAGCTGAGCAATCCCCACTACATTCCCTGTTTCCTGGGGTTGCTTATAAGCCACAAACAGAGACATTTGGTTTTAATTTCCCCAGGCAATTCCTGTTAACCCTGTTTCCTCCCTTCCCCCTTCCCTCTCCTTGAAAATAAATCTCTAGCTAAATTAAATGGGCCAAATTAATCCCTAATGCAATTCCACCAACTAGGATAGTTATACCAGCACAACGAGTCTTGTCCCCATATGATCAGCAATCATTCGTGTTGGAGACCTTAAAGAGCTCATTTACTGGTCTAAGAGTCTTTACTTGAATAAGAATTTTGCTGGAAAAAAAAAGCAAGTAAACATTTCAATGGACTGAAGAGAGAGAGAGAGAGAGATGTTTTCAGCAGAACCAAATCAGCACTTCATGCACAGCTAGAGCACAAAGTGTAGGTGTATGTGCAGTTTGGGCTGCACAGCGAGGCCTCCCCTCCTTCCCTGCTGCTCCCAGGACAGAGCTCAGCTCATCTCAGAAGGAAACAGCCTCACAGCCCCGAGCACAGACCACAGGAGCCATCAGAAAAGCCTCCTGACCTAATGCACAGGGTGGACCATCAGCCTCGAGGGAGAAGCAGAGAATCCTTGGAAAACCAGATAGGGAATGTTGCTTCCCACTGCTGGTTTGAACACATCACATGTTGCTTGTGATTAGGAGGTAACTACAGGAGAAATGGGTCTACTGAGCTCTAATTATGGTAGAGTGGAATTGGATGCATTTATTGCTCTGAGATTACAGAGACATTTCTGGGCACAGGATGAAAATCCAGGTTAATGACTCCCTTCACTGGGGCCCATGTGCTGCGAGTGACATCGCGACGAACACGTCTCACTCAACATCCCGCTGGGTTTCAGCTCTGCTCAGCCTCTTTGGGTTTCTAATTAATCATCTCTTAACTAAATCACCTAATTTCTTCACCATAAACCCAAGATATTTTCTGGACAAAATTCTGGTTTTGTTCTGACTTCTAAGGAAACAGGAGGTGCAGAAATGAGCACCTTCCCCATGATGTGGCTGTAAAACTCAGGAAACAACAAAATGTGACTTTGGGTTTGGTTTTAGAGGGGTTTGGGTATGTTTTTTGAGATTTAAATGCTAATAAAATCCTAAAAGTGACTAATTGCAGCTTCTAGCTGGCAAAAATACTTTGTATTGCACTGCAACAAGAACTGAAACACTGACACTTGGCATTTGGATATTACCCTTCCCTACTCCACCTCCTCATAAAGCAGCTAATTGACAAAGATCCTTCCTTCACTTGCACTGACAATTGTTTGTGCATATATAAGTGTCTCATAAAATAAATAAATACGGTCTTGTAGCATTGAAACTGATCCAACAGAAAGAGAACACTCAGTACCGAAATACTGGCAGAGCAGGAGCAGATGGAGCGAGGAAGTGGTTAAAGAGGAGTTTGTGGGGAAATCTAGCAGCAATTCTGAGACAAGCTAGGAAGTAAGTGTCAGTAACCAAAAAGCTTTTCTATTCACATTAAACTTGGGCACTCTGGTGCAGTGATCAAACCAGTGTTTCTGGGGAGGGAAATGGTAGGGTCAGTCCCAGGGAACCACCTCACAGCCCTCTCAGAGCAGCTGCCACTGCAGTGCCCAAGCTCCCACCTCATGGAGGCCACAGCACTGCTCGAGGACACTCCCCAGCACCTACTGCAGAGGAACTGATTTTAACACGTTTTCAGGCTGTAGCTTGTAAATGGTCCAATTTTCTACATACCTTGGATCAAGGAGACTCCTCAGGAACTGGAAGAGCAAGAACTGGTCCTGCAGAACAGGAGGAGACAGAGTATGAGTGGTTTAAATAACGTGCTGTAAAGCAGTGAGTCCTGAGCTATGTCCCTTACAGAAGATAAAGGTCACAGCCAGTGAACTGAAGAACTTGCTTTGGGCACTTGCCCCAAGTCAACACACTTGGACGATGTTTGCTGACAGCAGCTCTGTCCCTCTGTGAGCCCAAGCCACACTGAACTCCCACTACAAGTTACAACCAGCACCTCAGATTGTACATATCTATGTCCAGAACTCTACAAACAGCCCAAATAATTTCAACATAGCAGTTGCTGCCACTGGGTAGCTATTTTCCCACCGTTTCTGACACGCTCTTAGCAACCTTACAAGGATTGTGAGAAGCCCTGAAGGAGTGGGGTTGGCCACCTCACCTGCAGGTCTGTAATGATGCTCTCAATCTGCTCACTGAAGTGCATGGCTGCCAGGTCAGCTGCTTTGCCTGGGCTCAGCAGCAGCAGCTCCTGTGGGGAGGGAAACAACAGCCATTACTCTTCATTTCCTAAGCAACATAACTGCAGTGTCACCCAGTCTGTTCGTGCTGGAACTGCTCCTCTGCCTAGGTGCAAGGGTAAAGCAATGGACACCCTGACACAGAGTGATGCTGAGAGGAGTAGAAGGAAGGGTAGGCTGTAAAAAGGCATTTCTGAAAGTTGATGGTTTTACTACCAACAGGCCTTGAAGAACACAAACTGCTTCACACACCGAGACCACACATCAGTCCTGAAGAGAGTAAGTTATCAGGTTTTCTGACAACTGCCTTAGACCCCTGTCAACAAGACATTCCTAGTGCCAACTACAAACCCATAGGAGAGAGGAAAGAACCTCAGTTGACCCTCAGGAATTTCTCAGCCCGACGGGAGCAATGCTTAACTGGCTTGAACTGAACCAAACAGAGGTTTGAAAGCAACTTTCCTTTAACTTTCATTGTAACTGACACCTGTGCAGACATGAAAAACCCCCAAACAATTTCTCTATTGTAATAAAAGGAAAAAAATACATCTTTTAGATGCCTGTGGGTTTGCTTTCTGCCAAGCTTGATCTTAAAGGCTTCATGTTATACAAGTTTATAAAACACAGAACATGAGATTTTTGCTTCCACACCTAGAATAAAAGAGAAGCAACTGCTTCAAACCAACCCTGTGTACCTGGTAACTCTTCCCAAAAGCCCCTGCTGAGTCTAAAAAGGAGCAAACACTGCTTTACTGAACAAAAACAACTGTTACAGCAGCAAAGGAAGCAGTGTGCCTGCCTGAATTTGTTTCTCTCTGGACAAACCCCCCTGGAGCCTTCAGGACTGCTGAAGGCATGGCTGACTGGCTGAGGAGATGGCCCAGCCTCCCTGTCCTGAATCAGTGTGACTTTCAGAGCCCACCCCCAAGCAAAAGGTTTGGGGCTTGGGTTTTCATCCCCTCCCAGGTCAGACAGATTTGTAAACATGGTACTTGTTAGGCAGAGAGCCCTTCAGGGGTCAGCACTGACACAAGGCACGTGGGGCTGAGGACACAAGGACCACTGCTGTGACTGAAGAGAAGCCTTAGGGTTTGTTGTCAAGATAAACATCAAGGGAAAACAGCTATGTAGGACAAGTAGCACTGATGACAAAACCCACTTTGCCACAGGATCACCACAGAAGCCTCTCTAGACACTGCTGGTTGCCACTGCAGAGGCTGGTTGGCTGGGTTGGTACCTCAGCAGAAGGAGGAACAGTTGTCCAAAGGCTTGAAACTACAGCACCATCCTACCAAAATGTTATTTACTGCTTAAAGTCTTTGGACTGTCTCAGAGCAGGATTAACACAATGGAAAAGGGAAAATCCCATAGCAGCCACTGAGCTGCTAAAACACATGACATTGTATGTGCTGTTCATCAGTGCTGGGAAATAGAAGACGACAAAGGAAAGGGAGCTGATCTCGGTGGCAGCACCCAAGGAAGGTGATCTACAGAACTTACCACCTGCCCAGCAGCTCTCAGGAGGACAAGTGGTGCAGTGGAAGAATGAAGGAGGCACAAGGAAGCAGCACTGGAAAGCCCAAGGTGGGAGCCCAGTCGCTCTGGAAAGGCTGGAGGGAGCCAGGCCTGCGCCACACCAGCACAACACAGCCAGCACCAGCACCCACAGGCTCTGCCAGTGCACCTGGAGAGCTCAGCCAGATTCACTGGGTTGCTTTGTTTGCTGACTTTTGAATCATCTGCCCTCATGGTCCATTCCCTCATTAGTCACACACTACTTGCAGATGCTGGCAGAGACTACAAGTATTGTGTGTCTTTCAAACATACCCAGTACTTTCTTGTCTGCCTCACAGGCCACAGATTCTGTGCTGTTTGCTGCAACGGAGTCAGGGTGAGTGCACGACTGCTTGTTTTATAGACAGTTATTTTCCTGGCTTATCACCCTGGAGGGGACTGACACCACCTTGTAGGAACTAGAAATATTATGGATGCCCCACATCTACTGACGGGACATTTATCTCAGACACATCTTCATCCCCTGAAGCAGACAGAGATTGAAGACATGGGCAACATTATTAGGTGGAGAAGTCTGGCCTGTGTCTTACAGCAGCAGCCACGACCCCATCTTCCCATGGGTCAGAACTGCCAGGCTGCCAAAGCTGAATGCTATTATCCTTGGGAGATGAAGAACTGGATACCACAGGCTGTGAGGTCGGTGATGTCAGCACCCTGACCTTGCTGCTGCTGCTGCAGATGAAAGACTTGCTAATGGATCCCTTCCCTGCTCCACAGCACTCAGCAGCCATCGCCCCCAGCTCCATTAGCCGAGGAGCAATGCTTGAAACCAGGAAGCCACAGAAGCCAGCTCAGACCCCAGAGATGCTCTTACTTGAACGTGTGAGAGACTAAACCTCGGGTCAGAGCTGCCTCAGCACTGCGACTCCACACTGACACTTGTGCTCAGACACCAGCGCCAGGAAGGTCCAACTGGAGTCAGCAGAGCTGAGGTAACATGGACACAGGATATACTGTACCTCTATGTGTTCCAAAGCTTTCTGCCATACCAACTGCTTTTCTTCAGCACTGTAGCCAGGCATGGACAGGATGTTGTGAATATAGTTGAAAACTTCTTCCTGTAAGGCATAAACCCATAAATGTCAGAGTATGTTCTGCAGCAGCACTGGATTTTGGACATTTCTAATAGCCTTGGAATGACCTCGGGGCTTGTCCTCTCTTAGCAAGTCAGGATGAGTTATCTGCAGGCAAGGTTATGTGTCCCTTAACAGCTCCTGAAGAACTGCCAAGAAAAGAAAGTCAAGAGGAACTTGATGCTAAATGTGTTAAGCACTAAGGTCAGAGAATTGTCCTCCACTGTTAGAAATGTCTCTTTCTTGCCCACAGGGAAAAAAGACAGGACATCACTCTTCAGCTAGAAGCACAGGCAGAGCAAAGAACACTCAACCAGAGGGTAGGTCAGTTTTCCCAGGATATTCCTGAACTCCTCTTCCACATTAGCTCTCCCCCAGACTCTCCTGCTCTCCTGCCAAATGGTTTCTGACCACCTCACTATCACAACCTTCTCCTCCAACTCCTTCACCCACACAACGTTCAGCATTGTGTTTCAGGAGGAGCTGGTGAAGTGACATTTGCCAGACTCTCACCCCAACATCTGTTGATGGTGAGGAAGAGAATACCTCACAAGCTGCGGCAAAAATGCAACTTAGGCACATGCAGAAGGTAATTGCAAGGAGATAGTAAGGGCAGAGACGTGTCCAGGGAAGGAAAAGAGGAGAGCGATGGCAGAAACCACCTCACTATCACAGCCTCCTCCTAACTGCACAAGTGTTGCAGTTAGCCACAGCTGCAGTAGATCCCACCTTGCACTCAGGTTTTATTTATTAGCATGGTCTAAATTTAAAAAATAAAACCTCAGGCTTTAAAAAGATCAACAACTCTCCAATACACAAGCACAGAAAGCCTTGACTATAACCAAGACTACTCAACTGTAAAGCACATTTTTTAGGTAACTATGAGAGAAGAGTAAGGCTGCTGTGCCCACTCACTCTGGCCAGCAGGCCAGGCTGCACAGCCGTGGAGGAGGAAGGTCAGAGGCACCAGGCTGACTCACCTTCCTCATCGGATCACGCAGGTAACAGCCGATGATTTTGTCATAGCGAAGCTGTCGCTCGTACATGAACTCACAGATCTGGTAGCTGAAAGGAAAACAACTTTCCACATTAGGCAAACCAGACTCAGCTGAGCCAGCAGAACAGAGGTAGGCAGCACTTGGAAGCATCTTACACTGAGGTTCTCAGCACACAGGCTGAGTGGCTCCAGGTTACATGGGCCATTTGGTACCAGCCCCAGCCCCATGGGCCCATCAACCTCCCTCCTTGGGGAAGTCAGGATACAGAACAGAAAGCTGGAGTCAAGGACAGAGGACAGAACTCCTTGATTAAATCAGGTTTCACAGGTTCTACTGTCACAGATGACCTTCCTGGTTTCCATAACACTCTGCTCTCAGCTAGGCCAACCCGCAACGCTAAGCTGAATAAATTCACTGAACATGATTCAACAATGTGTCATAACACAGTTTCTACTTTCACATGTTAACAAACACCTTCAAAATTTGGAGGTGTTTAAAAACAGATGCAACTGAGGCAAAACAAAAGCCTGGTAAGTGATATTACACTGTAGATCTTTTAGCTGTCATCACAGGATCCCAGAATGGTTTGGGTTGGAAGGGACCTCAAAGACCACCTAGTTCAAACCCCTGCCATGGGCAGGGACACCTTCCACAGAGAGGTGGAGGTGGCTGAGATGGGGGCTCTGGCTGTCTCTGAAGCAAGTGTTGAGTCTGAAAATTTTGGCAGAGTCACTGTTTTCAGGACAGGCAGGTAAGCAAGCACAGCATCTCCCATTACTGATGCTATCCTTGTTGTGTGGTGGATTGACTCACGACCTGGAGGAAGGTGCCCTCCCTGGCTGGCTCTGTTCTGGCACGACAGACTCTAGAAGCATAAAGCATCTCAAGGAGAAGCTGGAAATTTTTAGCCTTTCTAGACACTGTTTGTCTCTCCTACTCAGTTCTAAAACAAGTACCATGGGGGTGGCTCCAGACCCCTTCGTGCTTTCAAATCCACCTGTGGGTCTCACCCCAACGAGTCACCCCCATCTGCCAGTGATACAGCACTCCAGCACACACCTAAACCTTTGAACAAAGCCTGGGCTCTCAGACAGGAACTGCTAAAACTCCTCAAGTCCCACAAGGTTCCTCCTGGAGGGTTTCCACAGCTCTATCTGCTCCTTGATTAACAGTGCTTTTTGTAAGATCTCCCAGCAAAGACAAAGTCTGGGACTGAACCTGAACATGTTAAATGAAGCACAGGTGAATGCACAGGGAGAATAATCCCAAAGCTGCAAAGTAGGAACAAGAAATGTTGAGCAAAAGAAAAAGCTGTGGGGAAGATTTAAAGGGAGTGTTCAAATATCATACACAAGATGTAAAAGCAGCAGTTATATACTGTGTGCTGCAACTTACAACTCAGCTTTCTCTGCCATTTGGATGAGTCGACTCTCTTCAAACTGCACTATCCCCCCAGCCTGGAGCAGCTCCAGGAGGACCTGCAGAGATTGAAGACCAGTTATTTATCCCGCAGCAGCAGCTGGGCAGCCTGGACTGTTAGAAGCACACTGCTCCATCAGGCTGGGTGTTCACACAGGGCTTATCTACTGATTTGTCATTTGATTGTCCACTAACAATGAAGGTCATGTGCTTATCAAGAACCCTCCTGGCTCTGTGGGTGCCGCTGCCAGACCTCTCCTGCTGGGGTGGGACCCTTCCCTCCTGCACAGCACTGCCCAGCACTTCCATGCTGGTGTCTTTAGCATGTGACCTTCAGCCATCACCCAGTCCCCAGGGGGAAATTCTGCTCCAGCCTGGGCTCACCTGGTGCTACAGAAACGCTCTCGAGGGCCATTACCTGCTGCCTCTCGGAATGGCGCGAGTCGTCATCCGGGCTGCACAGGAACTCCAGCACCTGCAGGGGGGCAGAGGGTGGCAGGACTCAGGATGGATAATGCAGCTGGCAGCACAAACCCAACCAGCACAGCCTGAGCACCAACAGTGGCAAACCCCAGCACAGTGGTGTAGTCTGGGTGTACTCCCTTCCTGGTCTTGTAACTCAGCTAGGAACACTGGAGTAGCCAAGAACTGTTGAGAGACTCCAGGGAGGGAAATCCTGGGCTCTGCACCAAGATCTATATCCCAACTTTGGGGAGCCCAGGGCATACAGAAGAACTCAGGGAACCCCACAGCCCTGCACACCAAAGAGTTGGCACCACTGTCCGACCCTCTCAGCTTCTCTTGGGACTGTGCCATCTCACCCAGAGAAACAGGAAATCACACAACTCATAGCATTCACTACACCTGGAATCAAAGTGTTTAGTCCAAATCCATTTAGCTTCCACAGAGTTCCTTGGTCTTAAATTAGAACAAAGGACATATATCTTGTAACTTGTTTTTTATTGGTGCTCATAGAGCCATATTACCACCAAAACACAACTGCTGTAGCCAGTGAAGCTCCTCTTCAGTCCCAGACATTTCCTAGACTCAAACTGGGATGTAACATAGCCTGTGCAAGCTCCAGGCATGGATTGGTGTACAGCAGACTATTTCAGTCTGTGGCCACACGAACTGAACATTACCAGCTCCATAACACCTTCGTTAGAAGCTCACTAATGGCACTTTAGTTGACACACCTTATAGAATCCCAGAATGGTTTGGGTTGGAACAGACCTTAAAGACCACCTGGTTCCACCTCCCTGCCATGGACACCTTCCCCTAGACCAGGTTGCTCCAAGCCCCATCCAACCTGGACTTGAACACTTCCTATGATCTGACCCTATTTCTCCCACAGTTCTGGCAGCCAAGCTGAAACATGGAGCATCCTGTGCTTCCAGGATCTCTCCTGCTCTGCTCTGTGGAACCACAGCAAAGGCCCAGCAAGATGCCACCTGTTCATAATGCCCCAGTACCTCCAAGACCTGCTTTGGTCTGCACTAGCCCTAGCCATGCTTTCTGCAGTGCTGCATCCTGCTTGGAATTTCACGCACACAGGAATACTTGCCTGGTCAAAGAGTGTCCTGTTGACAAACAAGGTGTTGTTGGGCTTGGCGAGCTGACGGGCAAGGAAGGTAAAGAGACAGCCCACCTGGGATGGGGTGAAGTCAGAGTTCTCCACCATGACCTGAGCAGCATTAGAGAGAAAAGGGAAAAATAAACCCACAAGTGATTGATTCTGCAGCAAGAAATATCTGTACAGCCACCAGGTCTCCTCCTGCCCCAGACGCCTGCACCATCTCCTGGTGTTAGCCTGTGTCACCTTCCACGGCATTTAACTGTGCCACCTAAGACACAGACAGGGATGTGTATTTGCTAAACCACCTCTGTCCTAAAGCAGAAGAGGCTTCACCTCTCTGCCTTAAGGGAAGCATTCCTTCATGTCCCTGATTTTCAGGTGCTAGGGGGCTCCAAACCCACATTTATCTAGATCTCTGTAGCCTGTGCTGATCACTGGACACATGACAGAGCTTCTGAGCAGAGAAATGTTGTCACATCAGTTAAAAATATAATTATCATAGGAGAAAAAAAAAAACCCAAAACATTTTACTTCAAGCCCCTGGTACTCCCCACTGTGATTGAGGCATGCAGAGAACTGCTCTAATGGCTAAGAAACCACTGCAGGTTTGGAGAAAAGCTTTATTTACATTAAATTAGCTGCTGCAATGCTGCAGCACTTCCCAGGACTGCCCTCCTCCTCCTCTCCAAGAGCAGGGCTGAACACTGCTGTGGTGGGCATTTCACAGAACCATCAGGGTTGGAGGAGATCTCTGAGATCATTGAGTCCAACCATTAACCTGTCACTGCTGGAACCCCTAAACCATATCCTCCAGTGCCAGATCCAGACACCTCTTAAACACCTCCAGGGATGGTGACTCCACCACCTCTCTGGGAACATCCCAGTGCCTGAACACCCTGACACGGAAACATCACTCCAAACATCCAATCCTGCTCTGCCCTGACTCAGCTCAAGCCCATTCCCCCTAGCCCTGGAATTTGCCACATCCCAGCAGCAGCAGCAGCAGAGCTGCAGAGCCCCAGGGACATGTCCCCAGCAGCTGCACAGCACAGCTGCAGTGTGCCACCTCCTGCCAACTGCAACCCAGGACACCCAGCAGCAGGGTCTGACAGCCCAGGACACCCAGCAGCAGGGTCTGACAACCCAGGGCTCACCAAGCCTCACAGCTCACCAACTGCCCCACCATGGCAGCATGGACACCCAACTGACACTGCCCCTGCTCTCATCCCTCAGCAGCGACAGGGAAACGCTGCTTGTGATATGTTTATACATAAACAGCTTCCAAGTGGAGTCACTCACTATTAATGGTGACAGCTCTGAGGAGAGAGCAAGCAGTGCTTGGCAGCCAGAGCTCCTGATGGGAACAGCCACTACTGGGAACAGGCTGGGGATGACAAGTGATTTCTAGAGCACCAGGCTCAGAACCACCATTCCTCTTCACTCCCATTTACTAAAGATAGGCCTGTCGTTCTGGGATTGCTCCATCCCAAACACAGCACTTACAGCCACAGGGAGCAGGGATTTAGCAGAGCAGCACTGGCACCCTGCCAAGCACAGGATTCCTGGGACCTCTTATCCTACTCAGAAGGAATCAGGGAGCGGATTCAATGAGAAGCAGATAAAAATAAGCTTAACAGTGCAGAGAGGAAGATTTGACAATGAAGTACATCCCAGGTGAAATCACAGACAGGGAGATTTCTCTGTCACCACATTTAACGTGCATGAATCATCACTTCCAGACACCCAACCAGCAGTCTTGGCTGAGGTGAATCCATGCTCCTCCCACCACCTTCCCAGAGGTGTGAGCCAGGGCAGGCCTGGGAACACCTCACCCAGAGCATGGGCTGTGCTACACAGCACTGCACACCATTGCTCAGCTGTGAACACAGAGGTTAGACACACTCACTTTCAGAAGGATGTCCACGATTCTCTGCTGATACTCCACAGCTTGCTTGTCATTCTTAAAGTCTTCAAAAGTCTGCATGAGGCAAAACAGTGACAGCTGGAGCAGAATGGCCTCAGAACAGCAGAATGGAGCAGCAGCCACGCCACAAAGCTGACAGTACTTTGGGTCTTTTCTCTGCAGATCCCTAAGCAGCAGGTTCCAAGATATAATTTGCTCTAAGCTACCAAAATGGGTTTTATATATTAAGGCAAGAGTAACAGGTCCAAACAGAGGAAATTAAAGACATTTGGAAGGCAAGAGAGATAGATGCCTACGCAGGAGAAAGAGGAAGATACTACAACACTCTTTACAATACATTATTCTTGTTTTACCTGTGCTTTAAAGATGCCCTCTGCCACCAGAGCCTTCACTGATAATGTCACATTCATCCACTTGTGTTTAAGGACAGAGAGGACTACTATGATCTCCTCTGGCATCAAAATTGTCCCTGCATCAATCAGTAACTACTGGTTTAGCTAAAGCATGAACTTATCAACAGCAATCTCACAGCTCACACAACCACACGATGGAAGAGCTGGCACTGCACTTCTCCCTGAGGTCAGAGAGCCCTTACCAGAGCAAGAACATTAAGAAACTCCCTCGTGTCGAAGTGCAGCAGCGTCCGAACGTAAGGATAAACCTCCTCATCCACAGACCCCTCGGTCGAGTGCAGCCGGATGAGGAACTCAAACACCTGCCAGGAGAAGCCAAGCAAAGACAGCACAACTCCCATGGATGTCAGATACTTGACAGCATATTCCCCACGGATTTCAGAGAGCTGACAGCACATTCCCCACAGATTTCGATAACCGACAGCACATTCCCCATGGATTTTGATAACTGATAGCACATTCCCCATGGATTTTGATAACTGATAGCACATTCCCCATGGATTTTGATAACTGATAGCACATTCCCCATGGATTTTGATAACTGATAGCACATTCCCCATGGATTTCGATAGCTGGTAGCACAAGCACATGGGAAAGCAGCATCATTACCTGCTTTACACTTAAGCTGACATGTCAGGTTCAGAAAGAAGAGACAGCTACAAATTTCTGGTAACTTTGTGATAAAGAATAAGGTGAAAACCCCAATAATCACCAAGAACTCTCCCTACCCTACCCCCACACCCTAACCGAGAGCTGAAAGAAAAGCATTAAATGTTCAGACTGCAACAAGTGTTTGATTTCATTCTTTCAAGTGTCTTTGTATTTATAGTGGTGCATACTCAGATCACCAGGGCACAGCTATCAGACTGATGATAGTTTCCCCTCAGAAACCCAGGAAATGCACAGCTCCTGACACCTCACCTGGGAGCACAACTTTCCAGAGAGCTGCTCACCTGATTTTTCACCAGAGGTACCAGGTCTTCAGGAATGTCACCCAGTGGATATGCTCGGCCTGCCAAGCAGCAGCTGCAGAAAGGGAGGGGAGAGGCATTTTAATAGGTGCTGCCATTAAACAGATTGAGGAGAACTGACATTTTTTGAGCTAGTTTCCAAGGTAAAACACTTGATCTTGTAAACCACGATAGCAAGCATCCTGCACAGACCAGCACTGCTGCTAAAGCACACGGGAGGAACCTGCAGGGGTGACATTCCACAGCAGGAAAGTGATGGGGAAACTCAGTACTCCTCTCAAAATTCTTTGCTTTTGAATTTTAAGAAGCTGAAAGAATCTAATCTTGCATAGATTCCAGAAAGAGGAATTCACTACTGAATCGCTACTGTGCAAGCTCAGAATGAGCTGCTGCAAATGAGGGAGCACAGCAAGCAGCAGCTGAGCACAGCTGCACGAAAGGACAGGGCAGAAAGGGCCAAACCACAGCTGCTCAGGCTGCACAAGGAGCTCTGTGCCACATGCAGGAGCAAGAACTCACTCTAACCAGAGTCTAAAGTTAAAAACATGGTGTTGGTACATCAGCAATAACCTGAGCCCTAAGTCTCCACTTCCTCCTGCCTATCCACTCACACTAAGTGAATAAAGAGCCATTGTACACGTGAGTGAGCTGCAGTGAGTACCCACTCATACCTCACACAGCTTCTCAGAACCTGGAGCTCCCTACCAGATTATGCAGCTATACCAAGTTCAAAATCTGGTGCCACCACCAGGCAACACCTCAGACACTTTCAGAAGGACCTTACCTTATATACACAAGCAGCTTGTTGCCCATTACCACCTGCTCATCTACAAAACAAAAATTATTTGTCACCTTTTCTCCACAAGACAAGACAGACACAATTCTTCTCCCAGCTGTGAGCAGCATGTCTCACCTGACACAGTTTGAGACCCAGAAACCTGAGCAGCTTTACACACAGCAAACAGTACTAGAAGACTTGTCTGTTCTCCAAGACCCTTGTGTTGGGTGTGTATGCCCCTTTTGCCTCTCTCTGCTGGAAGTGACTAGACTTGGGATGTTCAAAACACCAAATAAAAACTAAATAAAATTAGACCCCCTCAGAGGGAAAAAGTACCTGTGAGAGACTTCCCAGCATTCAGTGGAGGAGCAATGACTTTGAACAGCTTCTGTAACAAGAAAAAAGGCACTGCTCAAGCAGCTGGAAAAGCTCAAGGCAAAGAACCTGAGTGGTTTTAAAGCAGAGATCGATGCTGTGTCTTCTTCCTACAGAAACTCCTTCTTACCATGTCTTACACTGAAAAGGCCCAGAGGACACCAAGAGGGCAAAGGATGCTTTTCCCAGGTGCTATTATGAAAAACAGCCTCCAGTCACCCAGACCTGGCCCTGAGCACAGCCCACACAAACACAAAGCAATGTTCAGCAGTCACAGAAGTAACAGCCAGGGCACACCCACCAGCCCCACATCCTTATCTCCTGCCACCAGAGACCATGCAAACCTTCAGCCTACCCAGCAGGGCCACCAGAGCCTCCAGTTCACGTATGCAACATAAGGACTAGTCTGAACATTAGCTCTAGAAAGCAAAGCTATTTGTCCTCCTACAGCTAGTGCTCAGTTTCCAGAAGTTCTTTTTAAAATCAGGAGCACCTAAGAGCCTCCTTCAGAGAACAGTCAAACAATAAGAACTGGTAAAAATGGGGCAGCTCAAGAATTTCCCACCCAAATGGTCCCAGCTCTCTGTTTCAGCACTGCTGAGACACCACCAGCAGAGCTTCCATAGCGAAACACCTCGACACTACAGCTACAGACTGGGAGAGCAGTTGGCACATCAGGCATGTTGTGGGATAACCAGCAGCAGCATCCACAGGGCCTTCAGTGGCAGCATTCCAGCAGGTGCTGAGCTCTCTCCCCAGTGCTCAGGTCAAGGTTTGCCTCTGTGTCTGCGCTGGGTACATTCAGTCTCCTTATACCATCATGGCATTCCCTTCCACTGCTCTTTCGGTTTCATATTTATTTTATTAGCATTACTAAATTTCCTGCTCTACCTCTGAGGCATTGCTACCTCAGCAGGGAAATGGGTGGGTGTTCTGAAGCACAGTGGTCTCAAATCACTTTTCCCCTCTGCTGCACCTAGTCACATAAGCTGCATACATGACACATGGCTTGGCCCTGGAAAGGCGAAAGAGCAAGAACAGAGGACACACAGAGTGAGAGGATAACACTCTGGGTTTGAAGTGCTGTTTCCCGGGACAATGTGTGCTGAGCACACCAATCACACCTCCCTGCCCCAGGCACCTTCCCTACCTCCATGGGGCTGATGAAGTCGTTCATGCCACTGTTGTAGACGTAGATCATGGCATCATAGAGACGGTTTTCCCAGCACAGGAGAACAACCTGCAGAGCAGCAAAGCACAGTGCAGACATTCAGCTGCTCTCAGCTCACAGTTTTCCCACTCTCCAGTCTCTGTCCTTGCACTTTTACCACCCAAGAGTAAGATTTCAAGCAGAATGAGAATTTCCACCTGCAGAACTAGTCTCTGCAAGGACCTCAAATTCCCATAGGGAGTGTCCAGCTTATTGCTCACACAGCAAACATGGAATCTAGCTGCCTAGATTCTAACACTCATTTGGGTTAGTGAATCATAATGTCAAGTTTCCAAGCAGTTTCATCCTGCAAAAGGAAAGCCATGCCACTGGAAAGCTGGGCAGGAATACCCCAAGGGCAGACAGCTGAGCAGAGCAGGCTGGCAGGCACCAGGCTGACAAACACCACCCAGTCCTTGGTGCCCCTGCAGCCTTTGATGTTGGGTAAGGCACTCAAAACGGGAAAAGACTGATTGGGAATGTCCGACTAATCCTGACAGACTAGAATTTTCCAACATGTTCAGCTATTGAAGCATTAACCTATGCTAGGACACAAACTGGGGGAGCAGAACACACTAGAGGATGGACACAGCCATGCTAAGTAATTCCCAATCCATGGGCTTTGATCCCAGGGACACAGGGCTGAGCTCTGTTACAAAGCAGTAACCAAAAGGCATGAAGAGTTTGGTCTACCCAATCCTACCTGTCCCTGGAAAGGGAACACCTTGTTTCCCACCTGCTGTGCTGAAAAGCACAAGATGTAATCGTTGATTTAGTCAGAAGAATCAACACAGTCTGCAGCACAACCACTCACCTGCTGGATGTCTAGGCTGGTGATATCCATATGCACAATGCAGGCTTCCAAATTTTCCAACCTGTTCTTGTCTTGGAAGTGAAGCAGCAAGTCTTTCATCACTTGAGCTGTGATTCCCACCAGCTTATCACTTAGGATATATGGCTCCAAGCATTCCAGAAAGATGCCTTTGGCCACGGAATTCTCGCTCATCTTATCATATATCTGGTTAAACAATAGATCCCTGGGAGCAAAGAAGAGCTTAGTTATCAAATAACCTTATTAAAATCTCCTTACTTATCCTCTCTCTGAGGGCTCCAAATTAACCTCCTTTTTCTAGGCTCAGGAGCTCAATGCCCTGCTCAGCTCCTGTACTGGGGCACATTACAGGCAGCTACACAGAACAAACCAGCTATGGATGCTGCAGCAAAAAACCTGCTGTTGGAGGGGAAGTGATGCTGTGGGCAGGAAAGTCTAGCAAGGCAGGTTCTTAGTTTGAAGCCAAACTTTCCTTTCTCAACACATCAATGAGAATTCAAGAGAGTTTTCTGTGAGCACTTGGCCAGTGTTACAGCATTCCTCCAGACTGTGAGGTGACCTGTGACATGAACTGATGTGGTCCCTCCAAACCACGTGATGCCACAGAAGAGGGTGCTGGGGGTTACGTGGGGGTAGTGCACACCCAGACTTACATGCGCTGGAGCAGGAGACAGTAATCCACTATGACAGGCACCACATCCTGGGGGAGGAACACAGAAAGGTTGGAGGGACTGGCAAAAGCCCTGCAAAGCAGCAGACACAATGAGGCACCTGAAACAGCTGGGAGCTGGCACAGTTACAGGCTTTCCATATGCTGCTCATATGGAAAAACATTCTGGTGACACTCCTGCAGAGAACAGAGGGCACACAGGGCCTGCTCTGCCACCAGCCATACCCCAGTCCTGGTTTCCTGAGTGCACACAGCCAGCTGAAAGTTCAGCTGAACCACAGCCAGTTTTCAAAAACAGACAGGTAATGTTTGAGCCAAGTCCAGTTAAAAATCCAAGAGATGTATCCAAGAGCCCTCTGGGGCACCATACCTGAAAGTGCTGCTCCATAACCTGAATTTTGCCTTGGTCAGGACATTTCTTCAAAGTCCGATCAGTGTAATGGAGAAGGATTTCAACCATCTGAAGCACAACAAACAAGAAAATTAGTTCAAGTCTGTGCTGCTTTGGGCTGAAGTAGAGTTAACTCTCTTGCCAATAGCTAGTGTGGGGCTAAGTTTGGATTTCTGCAGAACACAGGGTCGATAATGCAGAGATGTTTTTTCATTGCTGAACACAGCTCACACAGGGACAAGGCCTTTGCTGCTTCCCACACTGCCACACTGGCAGGGGAGTTGGGGAGACTGGAGGAGACACAGCTAGGACAGATGACCCAAGTTGACCAAAGGGATATTCCATACCACAGGACATCATGCTCAGTATATAAGGTGGGATGAAGAAGGAGGAAGAGGGAACATCTGGAGTGATGGCATTTGTCTTCCCAAGGAACTGTTCCGTGTGATGGGCCCTGCTCTCCTGGAGGTGCTGAACTGCCCATGGGAAGCAGACAACTAATTCCTTGACACAAAAATCCAGCTGGGAAGAGCCCAGTGACTCACCCTGTCTGCAATGACTGCTTTCCTCTTGCTTGTGTCCCCAGTCAGGCCTAGAAGGGATGAGGAGTGGGGTGAGAAGTGGAAATACAAAAAAAACCCCCTCCAAAACCCCAGTTCAGAGGTAACACCACTACCCTTGAGGTGCAGAGCTCCTAACTAAATACACAAGTTTCGTGTTCTCCTTTTAGCCCACTCTTCCTCCCAAAGGCTTATTCCCCCAGTTTAAGCACTGTTCCAGCACAGGAATGGCTCTGAGTGCTGTTAGAGTAGTTTATGGAGGGCTGTCAGACACTGTGTGTGAGGGGAATTGCTGGAGGATGTCTTGATGCAAAGAAGCTGAATTAAGTGCACTAAGAGAGGAGAATATCATAAATGCCAAGTCAAGACAACAGTAATGCTCTGAATAATGAAAAACTGTCTGCTTAATTGTGTTATATCCCTGCATTAAATCAAGACACATCTTCATATACTAGCAAGCTCACAGCAGGATCTCCTCCTGAGAACTTGCATCTTGTCTGCCAAAGCCATCAGAAGTTATGTGCTGTAAGATCAACATGCCCAGTACAAATCACACCATTCAAGTGGCAGTTTCTGGCATCATTAACACGTTCCTCATAACAAGCTAAGTGCTCACAAAGCAACCTCCTTTGGGGGAAACACAGGGTCAAAATCCAGCAGCTCTGTCAGACAGTTATTTAGTCAAGAGAGCCCTGAATCCAAGTACCTGCTTGGCAGAGCTGACAGAAAATCACACTGAAAGTTACATACAGGAACATTTTAGCAGGCTGGATATGCCATACCTGGATCCACCTCCTTCATGACAAAGTGACCATGAATTGGAATCACACACAGACCAAATCTGATATCCAGCTGAACTCAGCAGGTTGTTAAAGAGACTACAACCCAAAAATCAAAACTGCCCCCAATGAAGGTTTTGCTTCTACCCAACCCAAAGCAGCACATCCTACTTCCTCTTGAATTCAAATCTTTTTTTCCTTCCCCTGAAAAAGTGATTTCTGTACATGCACAGGTTTAAAACCTTCCCTAGAGGTTTCAATTAAAACAAACCCAAACTTACCTACAACAGCCTTTGCTTTACCTTCATAAAAGGACCAGGCCAGGGCCAGGGCGTCCATGAGTCGCTCTTGTTTCAGCAGGTGGTCAACTCTCTGAAACAACAGGACCTCAGCATTACAGAGAAGATAATCCTCTCCCATTTAAGACCAGCATTGCCCAGCAGTGGGTCCCAGCCCCTGGCAGCAGGAGCAAAGAACACCTCAGCAGCTCTCACCATGCTGCAGTAGGGACAGTACCTCAGAGGGATTCTGTCAAATGCATATTTTCTGCTGGACAGTTAAAAAAAGCCTAAGCAATGTTAGGCCCCAGAATATCAAGTCCCTGCGGGTTACATCTTAGGTCAGACATTTGATGGATGAAGACCCACAGCATTAGTGACTCTCTGATATAAAAAGAACACCATTTTCCCACTCCCCATCACTTGGAGCACAACAAACATCTCTGCCATGCATTCAGCAAACAGGTGTACTCATCCTGCCCCCTGTTTCCTCCTGAGCTCATAGCCAGCAAGGGCTGGAGGAGAGCACAAGTATTTTCTGCCTTAAGGAATCACTAGCACCCAAGGTGGAGCACCCCTAGGCTTGGTACGTCAGGCCAAGGATTAAGGTACAGTGTGAGAGGAGGGATGCTGAGTCAGACCAGCACTCTGTGCTGCAGCAAGAGCTGACTCAGCTTCACCCCCTGATCACCACACACTCAACCAGGGCTCCTGAGCAAGTGCCTGCAACAGAGAGCTCCAGCACAGCACAAACCACGGGGATTGAGGATGCAAAAGTAGGAGGCCCCCAGCGTCCCCCCATGGAAACCAGTGTACCCACCATACTGGCTCTGTGGGATGCTGAGCACAGTACCCAGGACACGCTTCTCAAATGCTCCCTCCCTCCCCCTGAGCTACAGTTAAGCAACTCAAACTTCCTAAGGTGTACAGATTTCCCCTCCACATACCTCTCTCCAGCTTCTCAATGTCATGACATGAACAGACTAGAAAAGAAAAAAAACTAAAGTAGTTATTTCCTTCCAGTTGCTGAAGCAGCTGTGGTGCCTCACAGACCCTCCACAGCAAGCAGGTAACTCAACCCTCAAGCTTGGCACGGCAGGAAAAAATTGGAGCCTAGTTTTCCCTGCTGTCTTGTGTCCTTCTGTTCTTTTCCTAGCACATCTATAACAGAGACACTGAAGCTGAGGACACAGGAGGTGTCAGAAAAGTGATGCTAAGCCTACCCTGAAGCAGCACAAATCAGGGTTCTGTGAAACTATGACAATGTGTTACTTAGATCATCCTCCAGAGAAGGGCAATCGTTATTCTATGGAGATGTGAATCAGGGATGGATTCTTTGTCCACTGGTGTCGTGGGATTAAAGAAACATGCAATAATTTGGTCCCAGCCAAGGTATGGGCTCCCATCAACAGTTAATGCCCTGTATTTTATCTAAACACTGCCCACACTTACCTTAGTTCCAAGGTAGAAGATCTGACCACCACAGCTGCTGATGGACTGGTAACAAGCTTTCTCTCCCACCAGTGCCTACAGGGAGAAAAATGACATGCAAGTAAAACTGCCTTTTGTCTTTGTAAAATTTCCCAAGAAACACAGATCCACTTCCAAGATCCTTTGTAATTCAGAGATCAAAATGAGGATGGGGAGAGAACCCCCCAGATTGCTGGGCAAAGAGCTCTGCTGTCACTCCTTCCTACTTGTGAACACAGCTGGAAGTGCTGCTGAGCTCTGGCTGCTCACAACCACAGCAGAGTCACAAGGACCCACAGGCACTGCTCTGTCTCCCCTCAGGTGCCAAAAAAAGTTATGGGAACTCTCTCCCTGCCATCTGCTTCTTCTTAACTCTTCCTCAAGAGCGAGTGTGTAGGGCACACAGATGGGAAGATGACTGCTAAAGTGAGAGGTGCTACAACACAAGTGTGATTGCCAGTAACTGCTGCTTGAGTCTCTGTGGCTTACTAAGTAGAAAAAACTGTTAAAGAATAAAGCACATCAGCTTTGGTCCTGGACAGAGCATTCCAAAGCCTGGGAACTGAGCAGTAGCTCCTGAAAACATCAGTGCACAAAAGGAAACATGAGCTATGTGTTAGGTGGCCACATCACCACCAGGTATGACTTCCAAGATGCTCCAAAAAGGCCTTTCCCTCCAGGATTCCACCTCAGACCTATGCGAAAGAGCTGCTAACACAAAGAGGTCGGTGGTGCCTACCAGGGCCTCGCTGACATTGCCTCCTGTGGCCAGTGATTTGAAGTGGCTGCTGTTGTAGACCAGCTGAACTTCTGAGATCTCGATGGTCTCCAGCTCCTCCTGCGTCTGACGGTCTATGACGTGCAGCTTCTCCACACTGTCCAGCAGCACTGCTGTCCGGGAGTTTATCCACTGCAAAGGCAACACATCTCAGAGCTCAGCAGTGCAGACAACTAGAGGTTCCCAAAGCAGGCTCTGGCCATGTCCCTGAGTGCCAACACTGGAGTTCTAAAGCGGTCAGCAGCTTTGTTACTGCACATGGTCACTGCACAACTGCACCCTCCCAAGGTAAGGACAGAGGAGCTCCTGCTGCAGAGAAATTACATGGGAGCTCCACAGACAACTGGCAATCTACTAGAGCCCTTACCCTCTTGGGGCACTGTTTATGCTCCAAGCACACTTTCTATCCAAAGGTCTCAAACCAGGAGGGCTACACCACCTGTTCCCAAATCCCTTGGGTAAGTATGGCACCAGGAGGCACTATAAGATATACAGCATAACCAAGTGTGACTCACAGCCTGTCACTCCTATCCTGGGGCTTCTACGTGTACGTTCAAAATCTTACAACATGCCAAGGCTGTTTTTCGCTGCCTTTACAACACTAATTTTTAAGCTGCCAAGGATGTTTGTGATACACTGATGTGGGTCCCCTGATGTGCATGTCCATCTTGCTATTTCACGATTTCATGTTTTCTTTGCTGTAACCTGCAAATGTGGTTTAGAGCTGAACGATTTTGTTTGTTGACACCATCAAACAATTCTGGTGCTGTGGCAAGCGCTTGTGTATGGAAACACCAGAATTTTACTGAGTCAGTTACAGAGATGTTTGCATTCTTCTTAGCAAGAATATAGAAGTCCTTTTAGCCAGATTCTCTCTGGCTCTTGAAAACATTTCCTCAACAAAGCTTCCCCTCCTCCCCAGGAAAGGGCAGAATTGTTGCCTCCATGCTACTCATTTTTTAACCTTTGGCTACAACTTATTACTTCACTTGTTCTGGTTTCCTACTGAGCCCCAAGTTTAAGGGCATTTTCAGTCCCAGACAGACACAATCACTTCTTATGCTGCATTTGCAAAGACAACAGCACAGAATTAAAGGCTTCTGAGAAACATTTCCAACAAAACTAGTGTAGAAAATTTTGATCATTCTACAGCACTGAGACTTACAGTAAAGTTGATGAGGTCATAGTGCAGATGCAGCTGCCTCTGCTTAGTGACGTGTATTGCACCAGTGTCATCCCTCTTCACCTGTGAGGGAAATCAGACAAGGCTGACTCAAACTCAGAGATGACAGCAGAGCTGAGAAACAAACTTAGCACTCCAAAGACAAAATTCCAGGTTTTCTGAAGCTAAAATGGTGTCTCAAATTCATGTAATATCCCTGAAAACAATCCACACTCTTCCAGCTCCAGCAGAAATACACTGGCTGGACTCGATCTCAGAGATCTCTTCCAGCTTTGATGACCCTATGACTCTGAGCTGCAGCCACCCCCAGCATGCTCAGGTGCCACACTGGCACTGAGACAGAGAGCCTTGCTCAGCAGGACATATGAATGAGACATGATTACCTGAAGAGCAGCACAAGACATCCAAGGCTTACCAGAAGGAAATGCACGACGTCTCCTCGGCAAAAGGCAAGCATAGGGTTCACAGAGTTCTGCACAGCCACGAAGTGCCACGCCAGGAGAGGGACACTGGAAGGATCCATCTGTCAGACAAAAGCACAGGCAGTGTTTGAGGCATACCAGGCAGAGCCTCAGCCGCACGACACACGCTGCTCGTCGGCCACTTCTCACTGACTCTGCATGTACACACACGGCAGGAAAGCATCTTCCTGCCCCACTGGCAGCTGAGCAGCAGCTTGTGCTCTTAGGCCCACATGTTTCAGGGCAATGTGTGTCTCTTGGCCAAGTCACACCACCACCAGTGTTCCAGCTGCTCAGTGAAGGCCCAACCTCACACAGATAGAGGGACTGCAACAAGCTGCAGCTTACTAGCATCCTTGTCTCCCCTCTCCCAACCTAACCTATCCCACATCCATCCCCAGCTGCTCCGCCAAGAGTAAACCAGTGACTAGTGAAAGTGAATAATCATGAGGTTAGAAGACAGTTTATTGCTCTCACTCCACTTAGTTTCTGTCCCTGCACTTAAGGGTGTGTCAGATGGTTCTAATGTGATGTGTGCTGATGAGGCAGTGACAGCAGACACCTGGTCCTCAGCTCACCCCCTTCCCCCTGCACACCGGTTGTAGCCAGAATCCAGAGAGCAAATGTTTGGCTTCACTACTCACACGTCCATAGGGAAAGGTCATCCACACCTTCAGAGATGGCTTCAGGCCAATAACTAGAATCTACAAGGGAAACAGGCAAAAATCAAACGCCTGAGTATATAGCAGAGAACTTCTTTGTGATTCCTCAGCCCAAGCCTCCTGCCAGCAGCAAGTTACCTTTGTGAGGGAGGCCATGGCCAGCAGGGAATACTGGGTGATGGGATGGTCTCTCAGATCAACTTTGGCGTGTAGTGGCTCAATACAGCAAACTTCTCCCTTTGAGCCACTGAAGAGACATCTAGACTCACACGTCCTCACTCCCATGACCCTCCTACAAAGGAGGGAGATCAGCTTGGTAGCAGCTATCAGGAAGAGATCAGCCCAACAATCCCATGAGATCTCAACAGTGATCCTTCATAAACATTCATCTCAGAAAGTGCTTCTGCACAGCTCCAGGGACCACCTTTAACATGTCACTGGGAGCAGTTCCATACAGCTGCTCAGATACAAACAGGAATTCCTCAAGGTCTTATCTAACAGCAACATTTTGGAAACTCCTGGACATGATCAGATTCCCTAGTCTGTCAGTCCCTCCTCCTTGTCCCTCCTCTTGAAGAGGCTAAGAAGAAAATGAGCAGCTATTGCAGGAGAGCTCTCCCTAATGAGCCAAGGCAAACCAAGAGGCAGCACTTCTGTGAGAGCTGCCAAGGGTCCACAGGGAATGCCAAGGTTCTGGGCAAGGCACTAATAGCTAAGGCTATTGCATTGCAGATAGCATCTTTGTTCAGCTGGGAAATTACACAGCAGCCCTGCATTGCACCTTCAGTGCTCAGGCAGCAGCTTTACTGGTTCCAATGGGGGGTTTCTGCTTAGGTTTTGGAAACCATGACCCAGAATGGGCTCCTTGTTCTTTGTGTGGGTACCGAGAGTTATTGTCTTACCTAAATGACAGCTCAAACACGGAGCCTCCACTGTCATTGCAGATGGCAAGTGTCGGGTCATCTGTGAACTGAACGGAGCATCAGATTAAAAGTGGCTCTAAGAAATGAATTACAAAACAAAAGGATAGAAAAATATATGCTGTGGCAGCATTAACAGCAAGCAGAGGTGCAAGCATTGCACTTACCTGAGAGACACCTTTAACACACAGAGCTGAGGCAATTACTGCCTTCTTTTATGATGTGCAAGAAAAGCAAGGTGTGTTTCACCTTCACCCCTCCAGGGATCCCTCTGGCTAGACTGTGTTACCAAAGCAGGCACAAACACCCCAACAGATACATCCACAGCCACTGACCATGCCAAGCAATTGGAGCAATAAACGAGGAACACTTCTGGAGGTTCTGCAACCCAGAACCTAGCAGCACACAAGCTCCGGGGGCCATGTAAACAAAGCCAGACACAGAGCACGTAGGAGTTTCTGTGTGACAACAACACTATGCTGAACAAGACACAGATGATATCTGTTTCAACCCAAACATTCCCAGCAAGTTCTTTGAAAAACTGCTGATAGAAGCTACTTCCTATACTTCAGGCTCTTTTAAGTTTAAAGTTGGCAAGCCATGTACCCAGGTCAACACTGCAAGGTTTAGAGAAATGGATTATAGCAGCTAATCCTTCATGCATTTTGGCATCAGACAGAGGAGTTGTAAGACAACAACTGTTGTTTGTTACAGTACAGCTCACAGCCAACACTACTACGTCAACTCTCAAAACACTGAGTTTCATTTTTAAACAGAATTTCTGCCTGTTTTTCTCATCTCTGGATGCTATTGCCATGGAGCTCCTTGTCAGCTGCTCTAGTCTGTAGATCTAAAAGCACTGCACAAGGAAAGCCAATACCTCTGACTGAGCCAGAGAGGAGTGGAAGAAGTGGATGTAGTGTTTGTTACCTTGATGTGCAAAATGGCAGTTCCTGGTGGGTGAGCATCTGTTATTGACCTCAGCAGCTTCCCACTGGCCAGGTCCCACATGGTGATCTGCAAGCAGACTGTGCTCAGGACACGTTTGCAGTCAAGGGGTTCCCTCCATCATCTTGTGCTTTATAGTACAGCAATTTCAAGCCACCACTCCAGCAAAAAAACAGCTTTAATTACCAGGCCAAACCGTACAGAGTGCCCTAGAAAGACTGAGCTGTCTGACCCTGTGCACCAGCGCACATTTCAGGTCTTCAGGAGCAGGAATTATATCACAATTAATTGAGTCCTTCACTATATTCTGCATTACCCACTACTTCCACAGAAACCTACCCCAAACACCCTGAGTGAGCTCAGAGGTTGCAGGAACTGCTGGCCAGGAAGGCTCTGGGCAGATCCCACCTTGCACAACCCAACCCACAGCTGCGACTGAGGGTGCTTGGCCTGCAGCTCAGAGTCTCTCAGGACAGGCACTGGGCCATCCCATCCCCCAGGAATTACCTGTCCCTTTGCAAAGCCACACAGGAGCCTGGAGCAGTCATTGTTGATGCTGAGGGCAGAGATGGCCCCGTACTGGGCCCCAACAGCAGTGCTGCCCAGGCACAGGCGCAGAGCCTGGTTTTGGTCTAGAGCAGAACAATTAGGGACAAATTACCCAAACAGCAGCGATTAAAACTAATATCAAGCAATTATTTACATGTACAATACACTTGGGTGCATCAAGAATTCACAGACTTACAGCTAAGCTCTTACAAGGAGTTCGTGAGATGAGGGCACACGTTAGTGCTGAGAGTAGGACACTCACTTGCAGGGAAGTACAACAGGCATTTTTAGGGGCACAAACCAGGCACAGGCAACATGGAAATGCAGAGGTATTGTACACTGAAGGAGAAATCGCCAGAAAAATCAAAGCAGTATCTAGAGTTCCTTTCACTGTTCTGCAGTGGTGCCTAAGTTGTAGCACTGATGACAGAAAATTAACTCTATCTTCTGAGCACTGTATTTCTGTATCTGAACACCCACTACAAAGCCCAAACATAGACTTTTGGTAAGTGCAACTTGATGTCACTTTTATTCTTGGTGTTGCTGATAAAGGGCAGAAGCTGGAGAGAAAAGGAACTTGTGTCTCCAAGCTGCACAGTTAAAACGCTCAGTGAGCTCTGACTGGACAAAGGGAGAGCAGTGATCACCCCAGTGTGAGAGAACCTCCTTTCCCTGAGACACAGGTTGCTCCAAGGATGTGTGACTGCATGCACAGCCCCTGGGGGACTGGGCTGAGCAGGGCCATGTCCCACCCAGCTCCCATAGGCAACAAACAGCAGGCATCTCTGTGCCAAGTGCTGGATGCTCCCACCAGAAGAGACTAAAACCTGCTTTGTAAGATCATAGAGTGATAGAATTCTAGGGGTTGAATGGACCTTATAGATCAACTAGTCCCAAACCCCCATCCTGGGCAGGGACACCTCCTGCACTTCAGGTGTTATGGACAATAACACTCTGCCTGCCTGTGATGCACTGCTCCTAAAAGCTATGGAAAATGTTCTAGATCTCCTCTTTCCACCTCTCTCACTTTTGTCCTGCTTTGGAGTGAGGGAGGAAGAACAGATGCTCTGCAAGGACTGTTGGAACGAAGACCAGAGAGATCTGAAATACATCAGAAGCACCGTAGTAACACTGTGCAGAACTCACCTAGAGCAAGGAAGGGAAAGGATAGGATCGAGGGAACAGACAGCAGCTAAGCACCAGAAAACCCCTGGAAGATCTGCCCAAGGCACAGGACATGTTTCTTCACAGTGCAGCACTACTTGGAAAGTGCTGATGTGAAACAGAGCATGGATGTGTCTTGCACTTCTGTCCCCAAATGGTGTGTCCATCAGCCAGCACGGACTGAGCACACACAGGGGGAGAGTCACCCTTCAAACTCCCTGTGCAAAGAGACATTAGGGAGGACAGAAATAAGTACTAGCAAGAGCAGCACCTGAACTCATGGACTGCTCTAAAGCACTGGTCAGGGTGGGTAGAAAGCATCTCTTGCCATGCTGCTAGAAAACACCCTGACATCACTGTGACAAGGGGGTACAAAGCACAGATCAGAACAGGCCAAAGGAAGAGAAAAACCATGGAAGATTCCTGTGGAAGCTCAGAGAACATAGACCTACACCTGGAAAACCAATTCCCCAGAGACAGTCTTCAGATGGTGTCCTGGAAGACCCAAAGAAACAATTCCTGTCCCAGCAGTCTGGAAATACAATCCATCTACAAAAGGATCATCTGCTAACCATAGAAGTGTGTTCAAAACTCAGGTGAATACTGCAGCTCTTGCTACTAAAGGTGAATGGCATCCTGTACCTTCCACTTCAGCTTAACCTGTCAACCAATAACCTGCATCCTGGAAGGCATGAAAAAGGAGAAACTTTCACAGCTTTCTCTGAAAAGGCTTTAGCTCTTTAGATATACGCTCACAGGAACTTTCAAAAGCCATTTCCTTCTTCCCTCACCCCAACATCAATTCAAACCAAACCAGACTCCTACTGCCTCTCAAAACTCAGTGATTTGTGTGACCAGTGCCAGCACTTGTCCTTGTTTCCAGCCAGTCAAAAGATGACACACAAGGAGGAGCCATTAGGTAAGATTTTATAAAAACCATTAACTCTAAGATGGATGAAATTGCATCCAAAGCAAAGCAAGACCACAGAATCAATGAGCTCCTATTAACCAGCCGGCAAAGGAATAAAACCAGATAAAAGCAAAAGGCTATAAAAGCTGATCTGATGATCTTCCAGACTTATATTATCAGCTTGGAAATAAGACACATTTAGGATTAAGCATGAAAAGCTTTTCACATGCTTGAAAGGAAGGTGGCTTTGCAATTTATGTTTACATTTGCAATTTACATGTACATTTGCAATTTTCATTTACATTTGACTTTACAATTTACATACAGCAGTTATTAATCTGGAAATTTTCTAGCAGTAACTGTGTTTCTCTGAGGGCCTGGAGTCAAAAGGAGATGGCCCTTAGACACAGCTCTACAGGTAAAGAACAAAAAAACAAGTGTGTGAATGTGAAATGAGTCACTTTCCAGACCAAAGGAACAAGCACAACACTCCAGAAGTTAGTGCTGCTCAGACCACCAGGTTTCCCTCAACACCTTTCCAGAGCTGGAAAGGCCTCCCTGATTTCCTGCAGAATGACCCAAACAGCACAGCTGTCACCAGCCCAGCACCAGGAGATGCTCTGGATGATGGTGATCTCATGGAAAAGCCTTTGCCCTGTCCTGGAATGACACCTTTACCAACAGGTCAGCACCTAGAACATGACCAAAAGCAGGTTCACCTGTTCCCCTGCTGCTCCTGCCTGGAGCACACAGAGCCACGAGCACCGCCCAGTGGCAGCACAGCCCCCTGAGTGCCCTGCAGGGCCTCACTGCTGAGCTGGCACCTCAGGGCCTGGCACCTCAGGTCCTGGCACAGACAGCATGCACACTGGGCAAGGCAGCAGCAGGTCATGCAGGGCACGTGCACCGTGCAGAGTTACTGTACCTTTTCCTTCTCAGTCCACACAGAAAGGGCCAGAAGAGGAAAGAAAAAGCCACACATCAATATGAAAGAAAGGAGTGAAGTAACAAACAGCACATATGTGATCATCTCCCACGCCAGAGAACCTTCAATTTTTTTACTTAAAGAAAACCACATTTAGCACAAACACCTTAGAAGGAATCCAGCCTGCAGTTCTGACCCAGACAGGGGTTTTGTTCTGCTTGTTTTCAGGTATTTTTAAGACCATTAAAACACAAAACCCCCTTATTTTTAAACTTACCAAATATCAGTGCTAGCCCATGGGAAGTCCCCACTGCTATCAGGTTTGATGCTGCCTGAGAGAGTCACACAAAGATTGAAAGCAGAAGAAATGTCAGTCACAAATCCACCACTTATCAGGCATAGTTTGCCAAAAGGGAGGATTTCACAGGTTATAGGTATAACTGGATTTTAATTTATGAGTGACAAGCAATTCCTGTGTGAAGCCAGATAAGCACTGCACCTAACAGCCATCACACAGGTTCTCAAGTTCAGAGGGAAGCCTTTGCTTCTGAGGTCTGAAATGCAAATGCTCAGAGTGGTTCTAGAGAGAAGTTTCACTGTGGGTGCTGTGGCAGCTATGTAGAAATCCCCAGAGGGTTTTTCTCACTCACATCAACATCTGAACTCTCATAACCCTGGGTAGCACTGGTCCCTGAACAGGCAGGCAGTCCACAACAAGCCCAGAGACTCCAACTCCCTTCCACTGGGAATTAAACATACCTCCAAGCCTCTATTGCACCTGCAAACCTACACCCAATTAAATACAACCTCATAGAAACCACATAATGCTGCATATATATAAAATGTTGTGCTATTCTTTATCCCTTACCAAATCTCAGATTAAAACAAATCAAGTGCTTTAATGTCTGGAGTAAGCCCAGGTTTTTATGCCAAGTGCCATCAGTCACAGCATGCTGCTGGCTTTGCTCTGCAGCCTTTTGCCTCAGATGTGACTATTTCTTTTTCCTTTTTCAAACAAAAAGTATAACTTCTTATGGATTGCTGCCTCTACAGGCAAAGCAGCCAAGCACATCTTTAGCTCCTTTGTAAACCATTACAACTCACTTCACAAGGGCTGAACAAATACTTGCTGTGTTCCACCCCCTTAGAATGTCTCTCCTCTCGCTTTCTGCAGGCAGCTTCACTTCTCACACCTTTCAATTAACATGCTTGACATCGAGTCTGATGCAAGTTTCTGAGTAGCAGCATCCTTCAGACAGGCTTGTAGTTCAAATGTGTGTTTTAAGGACACATTTCAGACGTATCAGAGACACAGAGGTTTTGAACTCATTGCTTTGAGCACTTGAGTTTGAGTTTCTCCAAAACATTGTTAGGAGTCAAAGCAGTAACTGGCAGAGAAGAGCTAATGGAGAGTTCAGTGTGCTCAGCAGGTGGGGACAGGTTAGGTGCTCAGCTAACGAGCCCTGGGGTGATATAAAAGGGGAGGTGTGGGGCAGCTGGGCACTGCAGAAGGCTTGGACTCTGCCACTGGAGCTTCCATGCTGCTCCTCCTACCCCTCCTATTTCAAAATTCAAGGAAGATTCCTTATCAGCTGCCAAAACACTGCTCTAGCAAACTGGCATGGAAACAAACTGTACAGCACTTGAACACTGTGAGAGTACTTACAATTGCAGTGGGCAAGCCAGCATCCACTTTGTCCTGGGGAAACAAGAGAACTCGAGTCAGAGAGACACAACTCCCAGCTCTCTAACGACTCCAACACACAGAGAAATCTACACAAGTTGCATTTTAATGGTCTCACCAGGGTGGACAGAGAAACCACTGGCTAGAAGTACCCAAAGGGATGAGAAAGTGCATAGAAATGGAAAAGAAGCAAAATATCTTGTAATGCCATAGAAAAGTTACTGTGCTCTTCTCAAAGAGCCACGAGAGTAAACCCTGTGCGTGCTGCAGGACAGAGCAAACCTGTTTCCAGCACCTTCAAGCAAGCAGACCCAGAGCACTGCTACAGCTGTTAACCCTGGGGACACACAGCACTGCTACCAATTGCTCTGTTAACACTCCCCTCCAGGCGTAAAGACAACCAACAACAGTGCTCAGCACTGAAGAGGACCTACCATGTTCCTGCTGCAGTAAATCAGCTCATCCCTGACTCACTGCTCGCTAGGGAACACTAGTTAGTAGTTTACGTACCAAACATGTCAGTATTAGCCAGAACTAGTAGGAGGGGAGGGAAGAGACCACACCCCTCCACACACACCAAAAGGTTTCAAATTTTATTGAAGGGATGTGACCAGACACTTACTGCTGCTGATACTATCTGGGCAGAAATCCCTTTCAGAAGTGAGAGCCGTATCACTGATCCATGGAGTGAGAGGGAATCTGGGAGCTTTTTCTTCCTAAGGAGAAACACACAAACCAAGAGCATCAGAGCAGAATTAAAGCCTGGAAGTTTACCCATCCCACAGCTAAAGCAGCAGGTAAATTCTGCATGCACCTGTAACTCGTGCAGTTCGCATTCCTACTCTTGTGGCCAAAGAGTGGGATGAGACATGAGATTACCAGCAAAGCCTGCTCTGCTTAAATAGTTTGGTGTTAGCTCATCTCCCAGAGGAAAAAAAAAGTAGTCCTTCAACAAATGGTCAGTCACTACCACATGCCACCACAAACCACGAGAGTCAGTGTTCACATCGTACACAACCAGCAAAGCCTCTCCTGGCACATGGAGTGACCCTGGGCATGGCTCAGGTCATCACTTGAGTGGCTAAGGAGACAAGTCATCAGTCTAAAGCTAATTACCACATTGTACATGTCCCCTCACAGGAGTGACAGCACTTGCCTTGTGCAAACAACCACCAGCTGTTTGCAGGCTCTGGGGATTGGAAACATTTTCTTTACAGCCATCATTAAAACTCAGATCAATTTAACTACTCCATCTCCCACAACATGCATTTACTGCTCAGACAGGCCAGCCCTCAGCACCGCCACAAATCCCACCCTTGCCTACATGACCCTGCAGGAGTAACACCGCCCTGTCAAGGAAGGAGGACTGGGTTTAATGCACATAAGCAGTAATCCCTCAAAACTCACTTGAGCCCCAGGGCAAGGGGTTGCAGTACCTCTTGAGGTGTGTGCGGTCGCCACTGTCAGAGCTGGCCACAGAGGACGTGTCGTAGGAGTGTGTGTCAGTGCTATCAACGTTCAGGAGAAAAGGATCCTCCAAAATGAAAGACTCCTCTTCATCATCAGTCTGAAGGAAGAAAACCACCACAGATTACTGAACATTCAAAACACACACCAACCATAACCGAAACATCACCAAAACAGCAGCAACTCAGCTGGAAAATCAAGGCAAGAACAAGACAGTCTCATATTTAAAAACTGAAACTATTTCCTGCTTTACTGGCCTGATTTTGTGGAAGAACTTAATCCAGAATTTACAGTAATAACAGCAGTGGGCTGAAGAGAAAGTCATTCAACTCATGTTTCTTCCCCAAATATTATCTACTCCATGAAAACTGGAACCAGCCTTTAACTGAGCTGTTCCCAAGTCTCCAAACCGCAAAGAGAACACCTAGAATTATCATCATCCACTTCAGCACTTCATTAAGCAGCCCTAAGAGCCAACCAGTCCATCTGGCTGCGGATTTTGCCCTTCTCTTGGCAACATTTCTCTCCTTTCAGGCTGAGCCTGGAATGTTTCATGATGGCATTTTTGAAACATCCATTCTCCCTCCCGATGCCTTCTGTACTCAGTGCAGTTCATGTCCTCTCAGCAGAGAGCAAACACCACAGCTCACCTGTGCCAAATGAGCAGGGAGCAGAGCAGGTGTCCCTCATTTCTCTTCCATGCCCACTGAGGGTCTCTCTCTACCGCAGCTGTTTGCCTTTTTGGCTCAGACAGGTAGCTTTGCACTAAAATCCCTTCCAGAAGATGCTTTGTGAATCAGTCCCATCCCACAAGTACTGAGATCAATGGCATTGGACTAAGACTTGGTCTGCACTGAACTACACTTTATTCATGATTATGTCTCAGTTTAAGACTTGGATTCTACTCCTCTGGCAGAGATGTCACTGCATGTCCTTGCAGTTTGGTACTACCCCAGTTTAGTGAGCTCTGTCTTCATCACCCAAGGCACATGCAGCAACAGGACACACTTATGTACACTATCCCCTTCTACTGTCCCTCTCTTCCTAGACTATATCTGTTTGGGACACTTTATAGCTGTATTTTAAATGCAGCTTTTAAAAAGAACTGTCCCCCTGCCCAGACTCCTTCTGCCTTCACAACAGCTTCCTACAAGTCCAGCCAGCAAATCCCTCAGTTCCTTCGAAACCTTGGGATGTTTGGAGTTTATCTTCACTTCCATGCCCTTCTTTTCCTTTCTAAGTATCACACACTCACAAGGCTACTGTAAAAAACTGAGTTGGAGAAAAATAAGACCAAGTCACAATCAGTTCCTCCCTGCAAGGTACTACAGGTAACACCAGACACAGAGACAGGTCCTTACTCCTGCCAGAGGGCTAGATGTGTGAAGCTGTGAAGAGTCCAGTTCTCACTTCCCCCCACGACTCGAGAACCACCCAGAATACTCTGCAATTGCTTTCAGCTAAAAGAAGAAGTTGATTGGTGACCCTGACCCATAACAGACTACATAGGCTTCAGGTGTCTGCCGAAACCCACAGGCAAACATGCTTACACTTGATGGAAACCTCTTATGCAGCAGCTATGGGTAATTTAAATGATGAAAACCCCAAAATTCCCTACCACACACTGCCCAGCAACTACTCAACTGAGCCTGCACTTTGCCAGCTACCAGGAAATCCCGAAGTCCTAGGGAAAACAGAGCAGGAGAAGAGCCAGAGCAGCGTGTACTGCCTCCCCCTCGCTCACCTCGTTCAGGATGCTCTCCAGCGTTGGAGGAGTATCCACCTGAGGGATGTCAAACTCTTTGTCGTCAATCTGCACACCAGAAACCACAGAGTTTAGGTTACCTATTGCACCTTCCAAACTCTCAGTAAAACCCAAACCAGCCGCACGCACTCTCTGCCCGGAGCAGCGGGCGAGACCTGGGCAGAGCCCAACGCGTGGAAAGCTCGGCAGGACGCGCTGGGGGCAAAGGCTGCGGGCTGAAAACGGCACCGCGACCGGCCCGGGGCAGC